ACAGATGCTAAACAGATCATCACTGGGATCATGCAACTTCCGGTTGCAATTTAAGACGATCAATTGTGCATGCTGGCTTACACAGTGGATGCAGTGATGCAGAAACGACGATCGACCGAGCAGATGTTCTCTAGATCTAGGTAATTATACCATGATCTATGAATATGTGGGATTGGTTATCATTTTTCCTTAAAGAGGAAATGGTTTTGTTCAATTTATTTCACAAAAGTAGCAGATCATTCATTCCCGTATTTTATTATTATATCAATCATACCGATTTGCCCTTGAATTCTTACCAAGTGCTTTTAGTGTAATGATTATTTACCGCATTCTGTAGAAACTTTTGTAAACATTTATCGAGGTGTTATGGCAGCTAATGCAATTGAAGAAGATCGCTAGCTAGCTAGCTCGATGATTTTGCCACTTTCGCTGGGATCTTGGCCAGAACGAGGTTAGCGGAGTGTTGCGATTGACAGGCCAGACAGATTTCTATAACCGAACGAGAAGAAAACTGTTGACCCAGACATTACCTCGAATGCTGGATGTCAGTCGTATGTCTATTAGGTAAACTGTATTCAAATTTAAATAGTATTCAGCACTACGGATAACTCGGGTTGGTAAAACATATGGATAAATCGATACTGTATCGATATTTTACGCAAATATCAAGTACTTAAAAGTAACGATTGTGTTTCGATATGTTACGATAATTAAATTGTATAAAATTTTACGAAATTATCGACACGATATTTTGGGCGATATTTTATATTTTAAAATATTTTTTAAATAATGAATGTATAATCTTTTGATCCTCGGTATATTATTTTAGTTCAAGAAATATTTACTGTTTGATCTCGGGATCACATAAATACACTTTGTAGTCTCCAATTCGCACACCATGATTCCGATTCGGATTCGGAACACGGCAAAGGGATGCATTCACAGGCGATTAACCCGCTGGAGCCCCAGATCGTCAGGCGTTTGTTCAATCATCTAGCGTTTCGTTCGAGAGAGTGTGTTAAAAATAAACGCTTTTATTGATTTTATTTTGTGCGATGGCCTTTCGGGGTAATTTGCATCGTGCCCTTGCCTTGTATTGTGCCACCGACTCAAGCGACTCGACTAAAAACTCAACCTCCTCCGCAGCACCTCATCCATTTCAGTCAACCACCCATCCATCTATCCATCCATCCATTCATCCATCCTGCCGTCATCCATTCATTGCGGATGCGAAGCCACGTTCGAGGCGGCAAACAAGCGATTCGATTCAGTCCTAGGTTAGGGGTTTTTTACATATGCTCAATGCGTTTCTTGATATCTCGCTGTGTTGCTTTGTGTTGTGCTGTGCGTTTAATTAGGCGCAAAAATGCAATAAGAAGCACGGCAAATCGGCGAGGAATTCGCAGAAAATCCCTCAAATACAAATTCAAATTTGATACTTAACAGAGGCACTGGAAAAAATCAGAATATTTCATATATCTTGATATTAGTTTACTTGTAAAAATAACAATAGCGATTTGATAAGAAAAACCTTCAAACTTTGAATTTCTTTGCAGTTCAACTAGATTTTTATCGTTGGGGTGTTGCATCAGTTTTCAGTGCAATGCACTGCATTTAAAAAGAGATATCAAGATAGAGAAGTAAATAGAGAAATTAAGCCAACAGAGAAATTACCTACAGCAGATAACAGTAATGCTTCCCTCGAAACACCAGAAGGAAATGAAATAATAATGATATATACTTTAATGATCTAAAAGTAAATGTTTGAGGAAGTTAAGAGTTATAGTCGAGGTAATAATTTTTGAAAATGTAAATAAGTTGTACCAGAAAGATTAAATAATAATCATATATATTTTAATGGAGTATAATTAAAATTTTAGGGAATATAAGAGTTACCTTAGTCGAGGTACAATTTTTAGAAGTTTTACTATCAACGTTTTTTTTTGTTTCTGAAAGTTTGTCTACTAGAAGTTCGAGTGTATCACTTGACTGATAAGAAACCCAGATGGTCTCCAGATTATTGCCGTGCCAGGGAAGGGGAAAACCTGTGGATACAATAATATTTACATAAATACGCAGGCTGCTTTGTTGGAATGGTGCACTTTATATGCATCTATTTGCCTTGCCCATATTATCTGAGTGCAAAGTGTAATGCTTTTTCAATTCTTATCGTGCCGAGGTGTGTGTGTGTCTGTTTTCCCCCCCAAGAGAGCAATGAAAGGTGCGCTGACATCATGGACAGAACCCGGATAATGGATAGCTATCATCCTGTATTTTGCGCCCTATATATGAATTATAAATTAGCCTGTTTTCAGAGTGATGCACTCAAGTTGCTTTGCATGGGTTGTATATCGAATTCCTCACATAATTTGGAATCGAACTTCGCCCGCAGGCTAATAAAAATGCTAAAGCCCAACAAATGGCAGCCGTTTTTATGGGCTTTTGGGGGGGTTTTTTTTTTGGAATGGGAATAGAAAGCAGAGCTCACATATACGAGTTCCTTGGCGAGACATCAAATTTCGTATGGCGCCAGTTGCCTTCTGCTTCTCCTTCCACTCTCCCAAAAAACCCCACGAAAGCCTGCAATGTCCTGGTCTCTATTCAATTTACCGATTTTGGAGGGTCAGCTAAACTGATTTTGTTGCAAAACCCCGAACATCATGGCCTACTTAAATGCCAATAACAAGAAAATAAACGAAATATATGGAGAGAGCATTCTGCGTGCAGATAACACTAGTTGACAAAACAAGGCAAAAGTTTTTATTCAACTTTAGGTGATATAAACTATTTTTATATTATATTGATTTTAAATAACAATTTTTCAAGTTTAAGAATGATTTGTCTTTAAAACAATTATTATTAGATTTAATAATCACTCTTCGAGGTGTTGTAGAATTAAAAAAAAAATTTTGTTTTTGTTTTGTTAACTAGTGTTATAAATTATTTGGTAAAGTGGATGGCTAAAATGTGCACCGGATCCACTAATTGATTTTGTCTTTGCCACTTGCCAGGCAAAAAGGGGAAAATTGGTGTGTGTTGTGTCCTACAGTGAAGCACATATACGAATACGAATATAATTAGTTTTTGGACCGGCTGAGCGACAAACTTTGTTGTCTATCAAAATATTTTAGCAGTAGGAAACTTTGGTCTAATACAATTTTCGTTTCCCTTTGGCAGCAGCAGCAGCGAGTGGAAAAATGTATTTATGGTACCACATGGCGGATGAGTGATGGCTTTTTGTAATAATCAGTACACACGGGGGTGATCCATTTTGTCAGGCAATATTTCTTATAGCTCTTATGGTAATCCTTCAAAGAGAGTCGTTTCCCAGGATCGATTCCTGTATATATTTCCTCTTTATACTGAAGAACATTATAATTTTCTTTTAGCACCTATTAATTATTTCATCATGATCTTTCGCACACTTAATTTGCACCTCTGCAGTTCCCGGAGTTTTCCTGGGGGAAAACTGAAAACTATAAATGAATCCCCGAATCCGAATCCAATCAGTTTAGTGGCCCATAAAAACCGTTTGATATGGCCATGTCTATACACACAATCGTACATTTAGTTTCGATTTCCTTTTTTTTTTTTTGCTAAATATTTCTGTTGGGTTTGCGTCATTTGGTGCTGCTGATGCTGCTTTTGCATCAGCTTTTCTATCTATATCTATCGTTTTTGCCTTAATTTGCTGCCGGGCGCCAGACGACGACGAAAGCGAAAATTGGAAATTGAAATTTGATTTGATTGATTATATTGCGAGCATGATGACGATTAATGCGGAGCCCATGAAAGTGTTGCAAACCTAATTGCTGTCAATTGCTGGGTCTAGAAAATCAATCGAGAAATCGCAGCAAAAATTCACTTGCCATGCATTTTATTCTCTTGTTCGGCGAGGCATCCGCTGATTGACACGGAACGCAACCTGCCTCCCCTTTTGGGTCTAAGGCCTTTCATTAAGCAGTGTTTTGCCAGTAGTTGTGGCAGTACATTGAGCGGAAAAATTTGGCTAACAAAATTCTTCATTTAAAAAACTGTAAATAAGAGAAATATTCTCAAAAATAAGAAAAAAATCGTCTTAAAAAATAAGAACAAATGGTTTCAATAATAAGAACAAACGTTGTTAAACTTTAAATAAAATTCGGAGCTTCCAAAGGCACTCTGCAGATCAAAAAGGTAAAGCGACTGCTGGCACTGCTTGAATTTCATTATTTGGTCATAACTTTTTAATGAATGGTCAGATTTGAAAAAATTTTTCTACATTTCGAAAGGAATTAATAAGCACAACAAAATTGCCTTTATTATATTCCGAAATCTTAAAAGATGTGGGCGCCACACACATTATAAAGTCTAGTGATCCTGATCAAGAATATAGATACTTTATAGGGTCGGAAACGCTTCCTTCTCCCTGTTACATACATTTACTTTAGTAACGGGTATAATAAAAACAAATTGTTCATGATTAGTCCTAATCTAAGAACATTGGTTCGTTCTTGACTCATTTGTTAGACCAAATATTGAAATGTTTTTCTTTCTGTGTAGCTGTAGTAGTGGCCAGTCTTGGCAAGAAGCCTCTTTGGACTCTGATCTCCTTGGGGCAGTGCGATGCGATGGGTGGCTGTCAATGTTTCAGAAGGGGGGAAAAACAAGAGAAAAAGACATGAGACTGTCATGCTCTGCGCTACTCAAGGGGGTTAGTTACTACATACATATGTACATCGAAATAATACGTATTATTCGATAGATGGATTGGATGATGCCAAGTATTCCCAATAGCGCGTGTCGTCAGCTGGCCCACAATACCATAGATTATTTACCATAGATCAGACTATAAATCAGCTGCAGTGTCTATAAATTTGCATTCCATTATTTGTATTGTGTGTATTATACATAACAAGGATCGGTAATTGTGTATTATGTTTATTGGCGGTGGACTTGGCGGAATACGTATGCAGGTGAACGATTGGAATCAAAATGCGCCAATCGCATCCTCTGTTGATTTATTTCCAAACGGCCGCATAATTGCTCTGCAAGATGGAGTGTGGTCCGCCCGCTGCGAAGATCCGCATCCTGGTGCTGTCGTAGCAGTGGGTGAAGATGAAGGGTCTGATCATATGATTCATACCCACCCTGTTTTTCGCAATTGTAGGGCTGCACATCAGTGCAGTGGGGCGCGAAGCATCCACAGTGCTCTCCAAAAACTTCGCGGCACGGATGTCGTAGAACATTACCATGCCCTCACTCGTTCCAGTGGTCAGAATATTCCCTTCTATTGATGTGGTCAGAAATAGGCCCTCCCGGCGGGAGAGGGTGATCTCCTTGACTGTCTCAAGCGTCCGCGCGTCCAGCAGGATAGTAAAGTCCTCAGAACGTACGGCATACAGACCGTCGCTGTGAAAGACAATGCCTGTATTGTACTGACTGTGTGGCACTTCGCGGGAGAGCTTCAGCTGGAAGGTATCCGAGTTTACGATGTGCATGGATCCGCTTGTGGAGACGGCGGCGATCTCCTTGAACTCCTTCTTGAAGCAAAGAGAACTGATCTCCTGGAGGGGAGGTTTCATGAGATTGATAAGATAAATTGTGGCAAAGTCCGGGTACGCCGCCGCCTCCTCGTCAATATCCGGGGGCTCCGTGTGATGGTTATCGATCATTCCCCACAAAACGATGCCGGAATCGCTGGAGCCGGAGACCAGATAATGATCATCCAGCCAGGTCATGCCCGATATTTTGGTGGTGTGCCCATACTCGGCCACGTAGACGGGTTCCAGCGTTGGCAGCCGGTATACTGCCATTTCGGTCGAGTATGTGCCTACTGTAGTGGCCAAAAAGGAGCGGCTGGGCGACAGCTCGATGGCCCGCTGATCACCCCAGTGCCCCTCGGTATGGGCATGGCCGATTACCGTGGGGATGTTGTCCACCCGCCGCGTGTTCAGATCGTAGACGAGCAGCTTGTTGGACCTGGTCCCGATGATCAGTTGCTGATGGCTAAGCCATTTGGAGCAAATCACCGTGCCTATGTCGCCCAGCTCGATGCGGTTCTCGCGGAGTATATTGTGGGTTAGCACGCAGCGGCTGGTGCTTTCTACATTTACGATGTGCCGATCGCTTAGTCCGTTTTCCCGGCTTTGGAGATAGTCAAGGATATTGTAAGATACTTGCTCCTTCTCCTGCTTTGGCGTCGCCACGGTACCGCTTCCGCTCTCGCTGGCCGATTGCTCCAACTTCTTGGCCCGCCGCTCCTCCAGCTCCGCCGAGGACACGCGGCTGGACGGGTAGGTGCGAACTGTTTTAACTAACCAATGAAACATGTTACTTTGTTCTACTTAGGGAAACGGTAGAAATGTAACACCTCTACTACTAGGTTACGACGGAAGCATAACAGACCGAGCAAAGTAGTCAGTAGAAACCTAAACCGAGGGAACCCCAAAAAAGGGTTTTGCTCAGAGCATAACAGCTGTTAACAAAAAAACTCATTTCTCAAAATGTTTGTAAATTAAAGGTTTTTCTCGAACACTTTAAAAGTGGTTGAGTGATACTTGCAAGCTCTGCTACTAACAGAAAAAATGTATGTATGTATGACACATAAATACAATTTCCAAAATACGCACGAAATTCCCACTTGACGTGAATTTATAATGACAGCAATTTTTCCGTTGCGTTGTGTTTTTGGCTTTTTTTTTTTTGTTTTGTTTTTGTTTTTATTTGTTATTTGTTATTTTTTTACACTAAACTTGCAGTGCGAAGCAGTCGTATTTGCACTTGCATAACTCAGAAATTCGGCGTGCCGCAAATAGAATTTTGGACAAGCCCACACACAAAAAAACCTGGTCGGTTGGTGGATCGGTGGATCACCCATTGAAGCCATTAGGTTGGGGACACGAAACAAAATTGAAAATTGAAAATATTCACGTCTCATTATATTAATGTCGCTGCGAAAATGCAAATTCGAAATGCGCACATCAAAAATGATTCAAACAGCCCCCACATAAGCAAACAAACAAGCGGCGCGAGCAAACAAATTGACAGCGAATCAACGAATAAGCCAACTGAATGACTGACTGACTGACGGACAAACAAAAGAAACATCCATGTTGACGTCTAATTGTCGAGGGTTCATTCGGAGCAACTGTTCAAACACGAGGCTCTACAAGATCTGCTGGATGGTGATTGCTCAACTGGCCTGGGAGATCCAGATCCAGGGAGTTCTTCGGATCAATTTGCACAGTTCGTTGGCTTTAAGAGCATGCCAATATCTTGGATCAGGACAAAGTTAATGCTAGTAGCTTAAGATTTAAGAGGAAACGATATTATAATGATATTATTTATATAAAAGCTGAAGGATACAGACTTTCACCACAAGCTTCTTTTAGATATGGTCATTCTACAACTCTTTATTCCTATTTTTTAGATTTCCTCAATTTGTATTTACGGTTGTATTACAGAATAATAAAATAATAACTAAAATATATTTGTAATATTATTAAAATATCTGAACATATGTATTTTGAGTATTATTAAAATTTATATATACATATTTGTAATAATTTTAAAATATAGGGGTATCTTCTTAGCTCGAGTTGTGAGTTTTGGTTCCTCAAAAGGGTGAATTTACCTCTGAAACACCTCTGAACATCTCTAAACACATCACATTCAGGTGATTTTCTGGGCTGCTGCTGCTGCTCTTGCTGCTGCTCCACGATGTCTATAAATGTTTTCATGCCTAATTGATTTAACGTCTCGGGCATAGCCCAATATAGACATCGATCCAATGGCAGCGGCCAAATATTCCACGCTGCACTCGTTAAAGCCGGCTAATTACGGATTTTATTTGCAAAATGAATTTGTGCATAATATTTTAATGAATTTAACGGATTGTCGCATACAAATCGCAATTAATCTGCCACTGAAAGACCGTTGTCATCGGTGGTTTTCTTGGTTTTTTTTTTTTTTTGGTTCTCTGGCCATCTCAAAATCATTTTCAAGTGCGTGGGCCCTTTGGCATTGGCTGGTGGCTAGTGGGAAAAATTTGCTGAACATTGATTGATTTCACGCCAGCTTCTGCTTCGGCTTGCTTATTTTTAGCGGATGGGAAATGTGTTATTTTAAACGATTCTGCTCTCTGCTCCGCCTGCCTCTCGGATCTTGGATGTGTTGATGCTGTTCGTCGACGGTGGACATTTTCCCCTCCGTTGGTTGCGTGCCATGCACAAAGGCACCCATTTCCGATTTTCCATTTTCTAAAGCCGACCACCCACAGACATGCAGCGCCAGCGCGATTTCAAGGTGACCTGCTCCCCTGCTTACACTGCGGAAAATAGGGAAATTCCTTCTAAAATCACAAACTAAATATAATATATACATATCGAAATATATTTTAAAATATATATTCAATTCTACAGTGTCTTCTTTGGTTTGGATCTTATAGCAATATTTTGAGCATAACAAAATATCGATAAAAAAATTATTATTTTATATTCCTTCTAATGATAACGGTCTTTAAATTAGAATATGTATCTTTAAAAATAATAATCGAAGTCTAAAAGAGGAGCAATAACAATTTGTGATCCCACTTAAAACCATATTTTGAGAAGTATCGAAAAAAAATAATGATTATTTTATGTCTTTAAAACTAATAATCAAAATCTAAAAAAAAAACAAAATGAAAACAAAAGTTGCTAGCCTTTTATGTTTATATGTATCGAATACAAGATGAGATTGTAATAGATCGACCTTCTGCTCCTTTTGCAGCCCCTGAACTTGGCGGCCCCAATCCTCCTTTTGGCAGGCGTCGGAAGGAGCCGCTCGGCAGCGGCAGCTGCGGCGGCACCGCATGGATCATGCCGTGAAGGCGACGCGCGGCCGCCCGCTCAACACGCTGCGCTTCGAGAACGACGAGCTGGAATGCCTCTACCAGCGTTACACACTGAAGCTGCAGCGCTTCTCGGTGCTGGGCGTGGTGGCCTTGGTCTTCGTCCTCTGCGGCGTGATGGCGGCCCTCTCGCTGGCCTTCAATAATGCGGCCACGTTTCACGTAAGTGCAGAAAAAGGAAAATATTACAAGCTTTTAGGTAAAATGAGCTGAAAGCTTGATAATGCTGATGTTACTATCGCTTTTATCGATATTTTCGATATTTTTCAAACGTCGATTATACAACTATTTATTTTGTTTAAATAAACTGCAACTTGAACTGGTTGATTGGGCTTAAAAATTATCGATATTTTCAATATTTTTCAAGCAACATTTTATTTTGAATAAACTGCAAGTTGAACTGGTTAATAGAGCTTGCAAATGATCGATATTTTCGATATTTTTATTTATTTATTTTATTTAATTTCCTTGTCCTTTACAGAACATCTTCAATGCGATCGTGTGCGGCCTGTTCGCAGTGGTGCTGATCCTCCTGCAATGCTCGGTGATCAAGGACCACCACCTGCCCACCTTGTGCTACGGAATACTGCTGTTCACGGCCAGCATCTGTGTAGTATCGATGCCAACGCTGGGCAGCGTTTTCCCCGTCGACACCAAGGAGGTGATGGCCGAGGGCGTCTGGCAGATCGTGTTCGTCGTCTTCCTCGCCTATGCGATGATGCCGCTGCAAATCTGGGAGGCGGTGGCCTTTGGCATCGCCCTGCCCTCGGTGCACATCTCCCTGACGGTCTACAAGATATTCACGGATGCGCTGCGCTATCTGGAGTACAACCAGCTGATCGCCAATATTGTCATCTTCATTGGCGTGAATGTGGCCGGTCTGGTGGTGAACATCATGATGGAGCGAGCCCAGCGGCGAACATTTCTCGATACGCGCAACTGCATCGCATCGCGGCTGGAGATCCAGGACGAGAACGAGAAGCTGGAGCGCCTGTTGCTATCCGTACTGCCGCAGCACGTGGCCATGCAGATGAAGAACGACATCCTGTCGCCGGTGGCCGGCCAGTTCCATCGCATCTACATCCAGAAGCACGAGAACGTCAGCATCCTGTTCGCGGACATCGTCGGCTTCACCGTGCTCTCCTCGCAGTGCAGCGCCCAGGAGCTTGTGCGTCTGCTCAACGAGCTCTTCGGCCGCTTCGATCAGCTGGCCCATGTAAGTTGGCTTTAGAATTTACTGTAGAATTTACCACGGATTGATTACCTTCTTAATAAGCCTATCTTGCCTTGGGCACACGCCGATTCTTCTTTGTGTCGAAACGAGATATACTTTCAAGAGCATTCAAATATATTTATTTTAAATTCATATATTTGTTTTCTTTCTTTCTCCACCCTTTTTTTTACCAGGACAACCACTGTTTGCGAATTAAAATCCTCGGCGACTGCTATTATTGTGTCTCCGGATTGCCAGAACCGCGAAAGGATCACGCCAAATGCGCCGTGGAAATGGGACTCGATATGATCGATGCCATTGCGTGAGTATCTACTATGATCGACAGGGCTTTAGAGCCTTAGAACATGCGCACTAATTTGAGTCATGGCTTGTCTTCATTGATAAATTGGTAAAATAATTCCGCTGTCATCCGTTTGTGATAAGAAATAGTCTACGACAATAACTCAAGAACTTATTTGATATAATTATCACATTTTAATTGATGACACGCCGCGCGTAAGACAATTTTCAGGGGCTATAAAGTAAATACATTTATTCTATATTTTTAGAAATACACAAAAAAAAATTAAAATTAAAAAAATCCAAAGATTATTGTGAAAGTAGTTCGCAAACATTTTTTAAACTTTTTATAATACTTCTGGGACTTATAACAGGAGTGATATACAATATATATAAACTTCGTTTGGCTAAAGTTAATAATATAATTGATTTGATAAGTGTAGTGGGGAAATGTAGTTTACTTAAATGTGTAATTAAGTACCTTAAGGTATGGTCATTACATTATTTTGCAACCTTTTGTTGTTGACAAACAGTAATTAACTAGCGAGCTTCGTTGCACTTTAATTGAAATCTGAAATAAGCGTTTCTTTTTTCCCCCGCTTTCCCCTATTTTTTCAGCACCGTGGTGGAGGCCACCGACGTCATCCTGAACATGCGCGTGGGCATCCACACGGGCCGTGTGCTCTGCGGGGTCCTGGGCCTCCGCAAGTGGCAGTTCGATGTGTGGTCGAATGACGTGACCCTGGCCAATCACATGGAGTCGGGCGGTGAGCCCGGCCGAGTGCACGTGACCCGGGCCACCCTGGACTCGCTGTCCGGTGAATACGAGGTGGAGGCCGGGCACGGAGATGAGCGGTCCTCGTACCTACGCGACCACGGCGTGGACACGTTCTTCATTGTGCCGCCACCGCATCGTCGCAAGGTGAGAAGATCTCATAGTAGTCTCGACATTTCGATATTATCGATAATTTTGAAATTTTTTCTATATTTTTTTATTATACCTAAACATAAATATAATATTTTTTTGTAAAAATAATTGTTTTCCCTAAAAATATAGATTTTTTTTCGATATTTCGATATTATCGATCCTTTTACAATTTTTTTTTCTATTTTTGTATTATAGATTTTTTTGTAGATTTAATTGTTTTCCTTTAAAATATAGATTTTATCTATACAATATTGTAAAAAATATGAAAAATATCGAAAATATCGATAACTTATTTAACTTCTTTTTAACAGCCCCTGATGCTCAACACTTTGGGCGTTCGCTCGGCGATCGGCAGTCGACGGAAGCTCTCGTTCAGGAACGTTTCCAATGTGGTCATGCAGCTGCTGCACACGATCAAGTTCTCCGAACCGGTGCCGTTCTCCAATATAGCCACCGGATCCTTTCCCTCGGCGGCCAGCGCCTTGGGCGGCGGAGGAGTGGCACTCGGCGGAGGAGGAGGAGGTGCGGCACGGGGAAGCACCTGCGAGGCGAGCGCCGGCAGCGTTCAGGTGTCCGAGAAGGGATCGCGCAAGGTAAGTGGTGTTTGGCCAAGGGTTATCGCCAAGTTATCGGGAGTTTCAAGGTGGGAGTTGCAGAGTTGCCAAGTTGCGTGTTCCTGTAGCATCTAGGTTCTGTTCTGTTCTGTTCTATACTCTATTCTTTTGTCGTAGCTCCAGTTTGATGCATGTCCGGGTGGTTTAAGTACCAGTTAAGTGGGGCCTTCGATTTTCGATCGTGGACAACTAGTTGTGGCGGTTCTGGTTCTGTTTTGAGTTCTGGCTTGGTGTGCTTTTCATTTTTTCCGTACCCCAGATACACAGAGTTTTGTGAATAGATAGATAGACGGGTAGCGAGACTCCTTTTCATTTCTTGCTTTGATTTATTTCCTTTCGTTTTCTTTCAGGATGCGGTAAGTTTGCCTCGCCCATGTCTAAGTATTTCTATATCCAACCAGTTGAAACCCAGAACCTTAACCATTTTTCTTAACCTGAGTTGCGCTTATTTCCTTGCCCCTCTTGAGTTCTTGATCGGTTCTCGTTTTTCCGTATTTAGTGGGCTCTTTTTTCTTTCGTAGTCTTGTAGCATTGTTTTATGTAAAAATGTAATATTTATTCCTATATGCATAAGAAAATTGTATTCTTAGCTTAGCAAGATGGGGAATTGTAATTCCTTGTAATTACTGCTGTCTCTACTAACAATTTGTAGTATAACGTATATTGGAGAACGATTTGTTTGCGTCGATGTTGTGTGTAGTTTGAATGTAGCAAATAAATAAACATATATGCCATCAAATATATATATGTGTAAATATATTCATCGGTTGTATAATAACAGTGTTGTGCTGTGCGGTGATATGGTGATATCTTGTAAATTGATTTATTAAACTTCTATCATTGAAAACACTTACATTTTATAGCATACTTTTGGACACCTAATATAAAAACATTCTTGTGAAAGGTATCAAGAAGTTTTGGGAAAAGAAAATATGTGACTATCAATATTTTATCAAAATTATTTGAAAGCTCTATATTTGTTTACATTTTTATTTAAAATTTCATTGAATTTAGAGGTTCAAAAAAATTAATACATACAAGGAATTGGTTTCAAAAGCGGAAAATTAGGGATATCATTCGATATCATTGATAGCTGCGCTAGTGATTATGCTAAAATACTACTATTCTTACTTACTATTATTTATTAGAGCTACTTTTGCAGCCAGCGGTTCTTCAGTTTCGTTGAGATTATGTTGATTTTGGTTTCCATTGATGCGCCTCTTCTCCACGTTCTATCGTTATTTTTTATTTCCCGCCCTAACTATATTATTACTCTCCCCCCCCCAACAACTCCAACTTCTTCTTGCTACTGTTTAATTTACGCCTAGTGATAAGAGCGACTCTAAATATGAAATGTAAATACAACTAAGAACTTACATGAAAACTACTGTGTATACTTCTCCGATCCAGGTGATACGTCTGCAAAAGATCTTGCATGCAACACCGCCACCGCACGGCATTGGCTATGGCAGCGTCGTCGGCAGCGGCGGCGGTGGTGACAGCAGCGGTATTTCCGGTTCCGGTTCCGGTTGCGGTTCTGGTTCCAATTCTGGTTCCGGTGGTGGTATTGCCGCTGGCATTGGGGGCAGTGTTCAAGTGACCGTAGGCACCAATCCCAACTCTACAGCGAGTACGATTAGTCGCATTCATAGGCACAATCACAAGAACAATAAAGTGAGCAGAGCAGCAGCCAAAAAAGCATTCTATACTTTCGTTCAATCGTTCAAATCGTTCAAAACCGTTCCTGCGTTCGTTCGTTCAAGGAGGCCCCTTTATAAGGACCGAGTTCTCATCTAATCATTTCTTTTTTATTATTTTATTTATTTTTTTTAATTGTTTTATTATTTATTTTATTATTATTTATTGTTAAGAACTTCTTTATAAGAACTGTGTTCTCATCTCATTACTTTTTTTCATCTCATCAGCATTTTTTTTTTTTATAATTTATAGATGAGAACCCTTTTATAAGAACTGAGTTCTCATCTCATTAAATGTTATTGAATTGATCATTTATAAATGAGAACATCTTTACAAGAACTGATTTTTTTCTTAATTTATAGATGAGAACTTGATTCTGTCAAAGAGGCCTTCGATTTGTGTTTCGTCCATTCGCATTCGTTCAATAAATGTGTTAAGTGTAACTAATTCATAAGTGTGCTTTGTTCATTCGTTATTTGATTTCGTTTGCCTTGGGTCGAGATTTGTTTCTGGAAGGGTTTCCAGACAAAAGCTCGCCAGGCCTAGCTATGTAAGTTCCTAATTGCTTTGATAAAGCTGCAAGACACTGGACCACGAAAAGAAAATGGTTTTTTTCTTTTCTTTTTATATTTTCTATATATTTTTTTTATTTATTTTTTTTTATTTATTTTTATTTTTATTTGAAACTTGGAAAGTGCTTATTTAGACCTGAGTCGAGTTTCCTTTTTTTGGTTCAGTGTCATTAGCTGCAGCTTCGCATTTTCATTGACCATTCGAGGGCCGGAGAGCATGTTCCGGATCGATCCTCAGACCATCCCAACCTCCTCAGCATGCCCAGTGCCCCAGCTCTGCTCGCTGCCTTTCAGTTATCAGTTCCCAGTTCTCAGCATGTAGTGAGTCGTGGCCATGCAGCACATACCCCCAAGCACACATACGTAGAGCTTTCTGTCTTCAGAACTTAACTCTTGAATCTTCAACTCAACCAGCCAGTTCAACCAGCAAGAGAGAAACTCGTCCCTAAACCACGACTAACGAAAACTAACGAATCTCTCTCTCTACTTCTCGCTCTGATCCCTCTTGCATGGCTTTGCATCCTGGTCGCAGTCGCAGTCCAAGGTGGCGGACAAGTTCAAGAGGCCATTCCGGAAGCGTCACTCGGTGGCGGCCCACCATCAGCCCACGAATCGGGTGAACCGGTTCCTCTCGCAGGCGATCAACGCGCGTTCAGTGGACTGCGACAAGTCGGAACATGTCGATCGGTTGACCCTGCGCTTCCGGCAGAGCGACATGGAGCGGGAATATCACAAGGACTTCGATCTGGGCTTCACCACAGCGATGGGCTGCTCCCTGCTGCTCCTGATTTTGGGTGCTGCCCTCCAGGTGACCGCCCTGCCGCGCACCCTCATCCTGCTGCTGCTCTTCCTCTTCGCCTTCATCTGGGTGAGCGCCATCCTGATGCTCCTGCTGGCCGTGCGGCTCAAGTGGATCATCTGGGACATCTCGGAGAGCTTCTCGCTGCGCATGGCCATCACGATATTCACGGTCATACTCATTTACTCCGTGGGACAGGTGAATGTGGTAAGTGAAATGGTGAATCCTAAATATGGTGCATGTGATAAGGATATATGTATTAAATGTAATATATATAATATAATCTAACATATGATAAATAATATGATAAATAATAAATACAATGTAATATATGATAAATATGACTAATATGATAGATAATAAATATAATGTAATATATGATAAATCAGACTGATAAAAACCATATTCATATTATACATATGTAACAACTTTTTGTTTTGATTTTCATCCATTGCTGTTTTTATTAACTTAAAAATTGGAAATATTAAATTTAACAATTATAGTTAATTGTTTTTATTTATTTCATAAATTCTTAACGCTATAGTTTTTATACTCCACAATTTTTGAGTTAGTCACAATTTAAAACATTTCAATTTTATAAAACAATATGATTATTTTTTTTTTATTAAATAGATAATAAAAAAAAAAAAATAAAAATAAATTAAAAAAAATAATAATAAAAAAAAATTACAATTCATATATATCTATTTATATATATCTATATCTATCTATCTATCTATCTATCTAAATATCTATCTATATATCCATTTATATATCTATATATATATATCTAACTAAACCCCCCTTATTTCCAGTTCACTTGTGTCTCGGACCATCCATGCTCGGGAAATGCGACGTCCTCCTTCCCGAACGACTCGCATCGCAAGTGCTCGCTGCCCCAGTACGTCTCCCTATCGGCGGCCTTTGCCTTCCTATCAGTGTCCGTGTTCCTCAGGTGAGCTCATCATCGAATGTCGAATGTCCTCGATTGCTATTTGTACTTCTATTCGAACAGGCTTCCCATCATATTCAAATCGCTGCTGGTGCTGGGCATGGGCACCATCTATGGCCTGTTCATAGAGCTGTCGCATCAGAACATCTTCGAGTGCTACGACAACCGGGTCAAGTAGGTCACCCACTAATCCATAATCCATTAATCCGAATCCACTAATGCTTCTCCTCCTCTTTCACAGCGCCTCGATTCCACTTCACTTGATCTCGCTGGCCCGCATTGGCATCTTCATGATTGCCATTCTGGTGCACGGCCGCCTGGTGGAGGGCACTGCCCGGCTGGACTTCCTCTGGCAGCTGCAGGCCTCGCAGGAGAAGAAGGAGATGGACGTGCTGCAGGAGTCGAACAAGCGCATTCTGCACAATTTGCTGCCCGCTCATGTGGCTGCACATTTCCTCGATGCGCAATTCCGCAACAATATGGTGGGTGTTTCTACTGCCCCAATGACCCAATGACCCACTGACGGATTTAGACAAACTATAACTATATATTCCCTCTTTTTGCAGGAGCTCTACCACCAGAGCTACGCCAAGGTGGGCGTCATCTTTGCCAGCGTTCCGAATTTCAACGAGTTCTACACGGAAATGGATGGCTCCGATCAGGGATTGGAGTGCCTCCGTCTGCTCAACGAGATCATCGCGGACTTTGATGAGCTGCTGAAGGAGGATCGCTTCCGGGGCATCGATAAGATCAAGACCGTTGGCAGCACCTACATGGCCGTCGTGGGTTTGATACCCGAGTACAAGATCCAGCCCAACGACCCCAATTCAGTGCGACGCCACATGACGGCACTGATCGAATATGTGAAGGCCATGCGGCATTCACTGCAGGAGATCAACAGCCACTCGTACAACAACTTTATGCTGCGCGTGGGTGGGTAGCTCTAATTTTTAGAGGTTTTTTCCACATTTGTATGGAAATTTTTAAGGTCCAACTTTCAACCGCCTAAACGGTGTATTATTAAATTGGATCTCATTTCACATGAAAAACTAGATAAATAAGTTTCAAATCTCGGTGCGCATTGTGGTATTCAAGATATAAAAAATCGTGTTTTAGGGTCTGCGAACTGGCTTTAAAGTTTATCACCCATACGCACTGTTGCTTTCGATCAAAAATTGTTCTAATCAAGGTGGCATAGACTTAAACAGTTTAGTTGATGTTTTGCTCTCCCTTTTCTTACCAATTATTCCAACGAAATTTAGAATTTAATCAGACAAGAAATGGGAGAACGATTTTTGACGACCAAATTCGAACTGTTATACGTGTCGTATGAGTAATTTTGAAGCAAACTTTGAGGACGTTTCGTTTTCACATACATTTTTTGCTTGTTTTAATATACCATGGGAAAGGGTTAGAATAGAATTTCATTTTTTTGGACCGCCCTAGTGCCCATAGAAAAATCAACGTGTGCCCAATGCAAGATAGGCGTGTGACCAAGAGCAGTTCCTAATCCTAATTATCTCTCCCTTCTCCATAGGCATCAACATTGGCCCCGTGGTGGCTGGAGTAATCGGAGCTCGGAAGCCGCAGTACGACATTTGGGGCAACACGGTGAACGTGGCCAGCCGCATGGACTCCACCGGAGTGCCTGGCTACTCGCAAGTGACCCAGGAGGTGGTCGACAGCCTGGTGGGCTCGCACTTTGAGTTCCGGTGGGTTTTTTGCACTCTATAATTATTAAATTATATATTTACTTACAATATATATACCCCACAGTTGTCGCGGGACCATCAAGGTGAAGGGCAAAGGCGACATGGTCACCTATTTCCTGTGCGACAGTGGCAATAAGTCGCTCAACGGCGAGGTGCGCAATGCCATGTCCCTGCCGCAGAGTCTCCATGCGCCGGATTACTACATGAAGGTGGCGCAGTTTCCGGAGAATCGTGTGAACAGCGATACGTACAGCAAGAAGCGGGAGGAGAATGGAGGAAATTTCACCGTAGGTGGCGAGGAGCAGCAGCTATTGCTGCAGCATCAGCACAAGCAGCTCGAACCACCGCTACCGCTTCCGGCGCCACCGCCTCCTCATCATCATCTGCACCAGCAGCAGCAGCAGCGGCTGAACAGCAAGCTGCAGAAGCAACCGATCTTCATGGCCAACGGCGGACTGCCGAATATCCGGGAGAACGGCAATGGGCACAATGGTCACAACGGCGAGCAGCAGCAGCCGGCTGCAGTGGCGGTTCCCCTCCAGCAGCCCCCAACCCAGCAACTCCAGCAACTCCAACAACTCCAGCACCACCAAATCCAGTTCCAGCACACGCCGGTTCCAGTGCAGCACCAGATCCTACTCCACCACCAGCATCAGCTGCAGCTGCAGCATCACAATCAGCCCGTTCCCGTTCCTTCGGTAATGTTGCGCGAGTTTAATATTATTGAGAACCCGACTTCCGGTGGCCGGCATCCGCAGATGGAGCAGCTGCCGCCGTCGCATCATGGCAGCCTGGATCAATCGGGTTTGGGAATGGGAATGGGTATGCTAGGCGGCGGCGGCGACTGCTTCATGATGCCTCGTCGAGTGCCGGCATTAAACCAGCATGGCCATCATCCAACGCATCACCTCCATTCGAATCTGAATATGAATATGAATCAGCACCCGCCATCGTTCACCAGTTTGGGCTATGGCCAATGCCGGGAGAGCGAGCCGCTATTGCATGCCAGCAGCATCGCGCCGGTAGCCAAGGTGAGTGAAAGTGAAAGTGAAGACGCCACTGAGCCACTGCTCTGGAGCAGGGAGATCCTCCTCTGAACAGCCAGCACCGCCTTGTCCCGCCTCCAAGTGCCTCAGAAACCCAGTTAACCAGTAAACTGAAGCCATAACCCATCCCATTCGTGACTAACACCCAATAATAACCGGAATAGACTCGCATGTACATTGTATATGTATATTTGAAACAAGAAGAGTTCTATAAGTAGGGCTCAATGATTAATCTGAATATTAAGGTTTCTTATAGTTAAAAATTGTAATTTAAATAATGGAATCTTTATATTTAAAATAGAATCATAATTCTATTCCTTTAGATCCTTTGATTATATTTTATTTATGTATTCAATGTTTAAAATACCCTTTAAGCATTTTTAAGACAATTTTACCATTATATTGATCTCAAACTAATAATATTTGTAATTTAATTTAATGGATTTTTTAGATGTCTTATAATTATTTCGTTAGTTAAGATTGGGAAAAGATTCCAGTTATGTAGTTAAATCTTATTTTAAATGATAATTAGTAGATTCTCATACTTTCTTTTTTACTATTATTACTTGTTTTGTTTTTGTACATTTTATATTTCTTTTTAAGGTTTTTAATTGTAATTATTAGTTATATTACTTGAATTTTTTTTATTTTATATATTTTGTTATATTTATATTTGTTGTTAAAGGTTTTTAAACTTTTTTCATTATATTATTTAGTATTATTTAATTATTTTTCGTATCACAAACAAAATTAGATTATTAATAATAAGCTATACGTTTCTACAACTTTTAAAATGTATAACTATCAACATAGAAACCGAAATATTTGGTAGCTTTAAACTTGGTTCAATTAAATTAAATTGTACATGCCAGTCTGTTTCGCGAAATTCACAGCTCTTGTCCCGAATATCCATATATCCACATCCTTATATCTATATCTGTGTGTACCATGTGTCTAACTCTCTGTGTCCACTCTTTGCATGACCGCACATCTATCTATCTTCTCTCGCTTGCTCATCTCCGCTCCGACTAACCTCGTCACATGCCCCAGATAATGCCCATGCAGCATGCGCCAAAGTACGAGCCACCACGTTACACTTCTCCCCACACCATGTTGTCGCACCAGCAGCTACCACCGCATCCTGCCCTCCAGGAGCATCAGCAGCAGCAGCAGGAGCTTCCCCAGCGACAGCAACAACAACAGTACGCCATGTACTCGCAGCAGCCGCAGCTGCCGCCGAAGCCTGCGCCGCTGAGGACGTACATGAAGCCGCTGCCGAAGCTGCCGGCGGCGGAACTGGAGGAGAGCCGTGACATGTCCTCCACCGATGACCTCAGCTCGCGTCCGCACTCGCCATCGATGAGCAGCTCGGACGAGAGCTACTCGAAGACCACCGAGGGCGAGGGCGAAAACGACGAGGACTCCAGGCCGCGGATCCCCAATGGAGCTGTCCACCACCATCATCATCACCGCAATGGCTATAACAATGGTGGTGGCCTGGTCAATCCCCTGCAATGGCTCTATCCCTGCGACATTCAGGTGGATCCCACATCGCCGGTGGTCGATCTGCATGACTTTGAGCTGAGCTCCACCACGGAGAGTCAGCAGCCCAAGGGCGATAGTTGCAATAGCTTTGACTATCAGAAGGCCACGGCAGCTGGAGGAATTGCCACCAAGTCGCCCTTTGAGCGGGAACTGCAGCGACTGCTCAACGAATCCTCGAGAGGCCGTGGTTTGGCCACTACTGCGACTGCAACTGCAACTGCTACCACGACGACCACGGATCACACGGCCAGCAATGGCAGCCGGAATGAGATGATGATGAGCTACTCCTTCAGCAATGGCAAGCTAAGTGGAGCTGGTGGCTCGGGATCAGCGGTGGGCAATGGCAGCGGCAGCAGCAATGGCAATCTCAGCGGCGGCAGCGGCAGCAACTCGAACAGTGGCAACAACAACAGCGGAGGTCACAAGGCGGATCTGCAGCAGCAGGATCCTCAGGAGCTGAAGCTGCCCGGCAGCAGCAGCTTCATGATCGCCAAGCATCCGGTGGGCTTGGAGGCCATCAAGGAGATAACGCGCAACAAGAATCCATCGGAGTCAAGCCAAATGTGAGTAGGCAAAGTGATCAATGACCATCAAGACAACAAACAGCTTCCATTCCATGTCATAATGGTGTAGGCTCTCGCCGCTTTATGTTATTTTAAGTTGTTCTCTAAAATCCCTTAACCATATTTAATAAATAGGCATCGATTTTTTTTTTAAATATGATTTAAAGCCACATTTGATTGGTTAACATTTGAATCTAATTATAAATTAATGAATAAAATTTGTAACCCATCAAATGTGGCTTTAAATCGTATTTAAAAAAAACGATATCACCAAAAATCAAGCTTAATCAACCGTAACCCTTGCAGGCAAACCTCGGACACGGAGTCCTGCGAGATCCTGCACGAGACGCGCAACCAGATGCACATGCTGGCCATGCTGGAGATGCAGACGGCCAAGGAGCAGCAGCAGCTGAGGACACATCGCCAGCGGCCGCGCTCCAAGGAGCTGCAGTACAGCCACGAGAGCCTGGACGGACTGGACGGAGCAGCGATGCAGCCGCGGCAGCCGCGCTTCCACCACCACCACCACCACCATCATCATCACCACCAGCAGCAGCAGCAGCGGTACAACCATGTGCAGGAGCAGGAGGAGCGTGACGATACCGAGGACAACCTGGCCGACGAGGAGTTCGAGGACGATGAAGTGGGTCGCGATGTGCGACAGAAGCGCCTACAGAAGCCGGACAAAACCAGTCACAAAAGGGGGGAGCAGGAGCAGGACGCCGACGACGATGATGATGATGATGAGGTTGATGATGTTGATCAAGAGGATGATGAGGAGCAGGAGCAGGAGCACCGGAACGGAGGGCAGCTGCCGCTGACAAACGGCAGCAGCAATGTGATAAACGACGAGCTGAAATACGGGGCGGCCCATCTCAACCACCAGTCCATGGACTCCAATCCGTTGGAGAGCCAATCGGAATGGTCGGACGACGATTGTCGCGAGGAGGCCACAGGTGAGCAGTCTACTTTTCTACTAGTATGCCATAAAATTTCTGACTTGTTTAATTCCATTCTATGTGAAATAAATTTAATGTTTTCTAATTCATTTCGAATTGAATGAATGAATAATTTTTGTGAATTTTTTGAAGTTGCCAGATTTTTTTTGTGCTTATTTTTGATAACAAAAAGTGAAAAATATTTAACAAATCAATGTTAATTGCTTAGAAAATAAAATTCATGCAGATTTAATCACAAAATTATGGCCCTTTCTTCTACAAAAGAAATTGTTATTATTCTATTAAACTCAAAATTCTAATTCTAAAAATTAAAAATAATTCATTGAATCCATTCATGCAGGGCTATATCTTCTACTATAATCTCATAAAACTAATGTTTCTTATTGATTTGATTAGGGGGCGCTGAATCCACGGGCTACATAACGGATGAGCCTGGATTGGAGAACATCTCGCTGCTGAACGAAGCCGGGCTTACCGATGCCGAGGGCGCCCTCTCGGACGTTAACTCGCTGTATAACGCGCCCGATGTGGACGACACCTCGGTGTCCAGCCGGGCCAGCTCTCGGCTGCTCAGCCTGGACTCGCTGAGCGGCCTCTACGACTGCGATTTGGACTCCAAGCACGAGCTGGCCATTGTCAATGCCTCGCACAAGATCTCCAGCAAATTCGGACAGCCCACATCGCCGGCACAGCAGCAACAGCAGCAGTTGCAGCATCAGCATCAGCAGCAGACTCAACCTCAAATACAAGTTCAGTTTCAGTCCGCCGAGGAGCTGAGAGAGTAAAGATTGAAGATTGATGATGATGGAGCGTTAAACACTCAAACGTTGTTATTGCTATAATGCAAATGGTGTCTAATAATTTACAATAAACCAACCTAAACTAAAGCTAAAGCTAAAGTAAACTAAATCTAGAATAGGTGACAGATATATGTATGAATCTATATATATTTATGTATGTAAGGAAGCAGAGGCACTTAAAGCTGCTCTATGGCACCCCTAGATGTAACTCATAAATAGTATATATATATTATATGCAAGAAAATCTATATGTATTGAAAGTAAGCTAAACACGTAGTCATTGGTTACCCAGTTAAGCGTTCCAGTTACTACAATCCCGCGCGAAAGAAATCGAAATCGAAATTATAATTGATATTTATGCAATGCGAATCCATGCGAATGAATTCATCATTTAGTGCGCTTAGTCCTTGGTCCTCCTAAGGACTGAATTAACTCCCATATGTTATTAATGTACGACTATATATATATATGTATATCATTTTGATAATCGAATAAGCAACAATTTGGCCATTTATACGAAGCCACACAACCAATGCATGACAAGATGTAAATAAAGCAAAACAAAATGTTATAGATATTTTTCCGATATTACTGTAAGGCTTATATAAATTTACCCATAGACTGCGCCACCATGAATTCGAATTTTAAATTTAAATTTAAACCGAAATTAAAACTCGGATAATCGGATATTAAAGTCCCACGTGGAAGATACGTAAACTCCCGTTTCATCTGTTTTTCCTGTTTTCTGTTTCTGTTTCAAACGCTCCCGTTGCCACGCCAAGCGTCTTTGATCTTCTACGTTGCCTACTCTTGGGCTCAACCACAAACCACAAACTGGCTTAAACTTAAACTTAGCTTTTGTATTCCAAATATATGATGTTGCGAATTTTGTAGTATAAGTTCCAGAGTGCTAGACGGAGTGACTTAAAGTGTACTCCCCTCTGTTGGCTGCTGCACAATTGTCAAATTTCATTTGCTATGTATGCTACTTCAGTGTATTCGTCTGTAAGATCTGTACATAGGATAGATATTCAAGGGGATGGAGGAGGAGGAGGATATATGAATATGATTTACAATTACTAGGAACTTAAGAATTAAAGAGACAAAAAGATATTCTTGATATTGTTGCCCCGACCCCAAAAACCCAAAGCAACCGAAAACAACCGAACAACACCAAGCAAAAAACTGAAACTGAAAACAAAATCTCGTACAACTGTGCAAATGATAAATAAGCAAATGTAAACAAACAAATCCATATTTTGTGTGTGAAATTTATTAAGTCGCCTTAGGAGCGCCAAATATTATTAACAAAAAAAACCTACACGAAGGCAAAAACATTAAGCGATAAAAGCAACAACCACAGCTACTGCAAGAACTGCAAACAGCCCACAGATAAACTTCTTATGCAAATATAAACACAAATAGCGCAGAACTATATATGTACATATAAATTGAAATTGAAACTGGAAAATCAGCTGGAATAAATATCTATATATACACACATTCATATGATTGTACACAGAGGCAGACAGGAAGTTTATTTATTTTTCTGTACTAAAAGAAAGTAAATGGTAAAGAATTAATTAATATATATGCAATGACAGCCATCTGTCTATATCTACACAAAATATTTGGTGGGTAATAGGGCCTTATGAACAGGATTATAAAATCCGGGGGCCGATTGTCGACTCATTTTCATTTCCAAATGCAATTATCAAAGTTGGCCGTACTGCATTATCAGGGCTGTTCCAGATTTCGCGTGCAAAGGAAATCGAAACCCTGATCGAATTAGAATTACCCCTTTTTATTACGATGTATCAAAATAAAATAAGTCTGCAAAATTTGCTTGTTTTTCTGTTATTTCTATTATTAATGATTTTGATTTACTTTTCGCGATCTCAAAATTAACAAAGGGACAACTAATTACATTTTAATTTGTGTACTCAATGTTAGGAGAACTTTATTTTTGAAAACGGAAAAATTATTAAAGTAAAGATTGGAACATTTTGGAAAAATGGAACAGGCCTGTTTGCATAAGAAAAGAAACCCTACTAGAAATACATAAAATGTCAGCATATCAAATATGTCAAAAAAAACAATATATATATATACAAAAATATAACCGTGTGTACTTAAATTATTAAGCTGGTAAACTTGGAAAGGTAATTATGAGCATTTGTTTCGATCTGTAAATATTATTTATATATTCACGGAGAGCTAAGGTTTAAAACCTTTAGACAAATATTCCTATGGAAACATTCACAATCAAAGTCTTTTGTGTTTGCAAATTTAAGGGTGCCCAAACAGCTGGGCAAATATCTGGTCGTAGGAAGTTGGTTTTGTACTTGCTCTGTTGGCTCTTTTCTATTTTACAGTTGGGCTAACATTTGATTACTGGTTGATGGGCATCACGACACGTGCCTGAGTTTCTAGCTGTTGCAATGTGTACTTACTTTAATGCTTACTTATAAATATTTATATTTCTTTTTTATATGTTCCAAGTTTAAATGCCAATCGATTGGGAATTTAATAACGAGTTCAACAAGGGAGGACCCTTTTTGAGATAAATTTGAAATTTTTTCTAGTCGTTTTTTGCTGTAACTTGGTCAAAAATGCTCCAAAATCAAAAAGGCGTACTGTTTTGAGCAGCTCACAACCTAATATTTAATATCAGTGCACTTTTCGTCGGAATTAAAAAAAATAATTTTGGACCCAATTTTCGCATTTTTTATAAGGGGTACCATCATCATTTTTTGCAAAAAATGGCAAAATTTTAAAATTTCCAGGTTTAAATGCAAATTGATTTGGAATTTAATAACGAGTTTAACGAGGTATGCCACTCTGTATTTGGGTCATTATTTCCATTTTTATGACCAAAATACTGTTTGTTTTTGGGGTAAAAATCAAGATCTTGATTTTTGGACAAAAATTTGATTTTTTCAAAATGGGGTTTTTGCTGTGGCCAAAAATGCTCCAAAATCAAAAAGCCGTACTGTTTTGAGCAGCTAACAACCTAATATTTAATATCAGTGCACTTTTCGTCGGAATTAAAAAAAATAATTTTGGACCCAATTTTCGCATTTTTTATAAGGGGTACCATCATCATTTTTTGCAAAAAATGACAAAATTTAAAAATTTGCAGGTGAAAATGCCAATCGATTGAGAATTAAACTACGAGTTCAACAAGGTACGACACCCCGTGTTTGGATCATTATTTTCAATGTTTCCACCAAAACACTGATTTTTTGGGTGGAAAATTAGTATCGGTGTTTTTGGTAATTATAGGATTTTCAGTGTGTTTCTTTAAGAATCATTCAGTCGTTGGGATTTTCCATCATCTCAATGAATTGCTGAATTATTCACGACTCTTTTCAATAGATTAAAGACAAAGGAACGTCTGGTTTTTGTTTTGCACGATTTGTATTTATTTTTTAATTACTCATTAACTCTTTTTCTTGGCTGTGTCGAAAACAATCAGTGATATAGTACATATACCAGCTCAACGGCGAAGAAGGCGAAGGTGGTTCCCGCAGACACGGTTGTTTTTGTCCCAGCGATCGAATGACGTCTTTGGAGGAGGTGGAGGCGGCAGAGGAGGCGGAGGCACCCATTACATATTTGAGCACCACCCCCAACTCATACACCTCATACAACTCGGCTGGGACAAATGAGACACTCTGGCGGTAAATATTTAATCAAATGTTGATAAAAAAAAGAGAAAAAAAGAAACTGCTCTACAACGGTTGCCATAAAAGCCCGTTGCCCTGCGGGAATCGCCAGCAATCAGGTCTGGGAATAGAAATGCGCAACACCGTGATCATCGTTTGCCTATCTGCGGCACTTGGCATCGTCTCCGCCACCGATTACTGCAAAAAGAGCTGTGGCAGCACCAAGAATCTCGGATGCGATAATGATGGGGTGAGTAAACCACCCGATCTCTAAGTTGGAACTCCTTCAATGCTTTCCGAAATCACTATTCTGAGCTCCATCTAAGGATCAAGAGAATCAGACTAACATTTTTGTTTTTTCGTTGCAATAATTAAGGAAGTGATATTTTTGAATACAGTTTTTTATCTCATTCAAAAACATTGCTTTTAAATAAAGTATTTTATTTAATTTATTTAAATCTACGATTTATTAAAAAAATGTGCTAGAAATTTGTTGTGCAGGAAAAAAAGTTCATTGGCATTTAAGACAGCGAAAGAAATTTTTGTAAAAATTAGTTTCAAATTGTATCACTCATACGCACTGTTGACCTCGATCAAAAAGTTATTTTAATAGATTTCAACTATGCTTTTTTTTAATTCCTCCTTTTTAAGCCAAACAAAATTTAAAATTTTACCAAACTAAGAAATGGGAGAACGATTTTGTTGACTAAATACTAACTGTTATACGTGTCGTATGAGTAATTTTTAAGGAAACTAATCCAAAAATTACAATTTTTAGTTTTCGAATTCTTTTGTTAGGAATAAAAATCTACTTATTTGACCACCATAAATGTAATGATGATATTTTCTGATGCAAACTGATAGCTAAGTATTTATTTATATATTTTTCAATGCTTACAGGCCTGGGCCTCCAGCTGCCCCAGTGACGCGGCCCTCTTATCGCTGAGCTCGGCGGAAAAGGCTGCCTTGGTGGACAGGACGAACGAGTACCGCAACATCATCGCCGGCGGACTGAACGCCAATCTGAGTGCCGCCTGTCGGATGGCCACCATCAAGTGGAACGACGAGCTGGCCTACTTGGCCTCCCTGAACGTCAAGAGCTGTGCGATGCGTCACGACGGCTGCCACAACACCGATGCCTTCGACTGGTCGGGTCAGAATCTGGCCTGGATGAGCTACTACGATCCTCTGAATGTGACCCACTATGTGCAGTGGGGCGTCGATATGTGGTACGGTGAGGCGGTCTACACCAAACAGGCCTACATCGATGCCTATCCATCGAACTACCAGGGACCGGCCATCGGTCACTTCACCGTTCTGGTTGCCGATCGTAATACGGAGATGGGCTGCGCTGCGGCCACCTACTCGGTGCCTGGACAGGGCTACAAGGCCTTCCTCCTGGCCTGCAACTATGCGGCCACCAATGTGCTGGGCATTAAAATGTACAGCTCCTGCCCCAAGGCGCCGGCCAGCAAGTGCACCACCGGCACTAATCCCAACTACAAGTACCTGTGCAGCGCCAACGAGGTCTACGACGTCAACAATCTATTCTACTGAAACACTGAACTACTGAATAAATAGAAGCTACAATCGCTTTGCGGCTAATTGGTTTTCCAACAAAAATATAGTTTAAATATGTGCTAAAATAATTATGTTGTAATTTGTAAAAAAATTTTCACTAAGTGTATACCTTCCCATAAGTTCAATTGCGATTTCACCGGAACTGCTTAGATATTAAAAGCTTATCGCTTTTGTTGTCTCTTGTGGGAGATAAGATATATTATTTCAGATGAAGGCTCGTCTTGGATGTAAAAAAACAAACCATAATCTGGTGTTTTTCCCAGGAAATGTATGCTTCAATTTGATAAGGTAAAAATCCAAGAAAGCGTAGAGCAAAAAAAAAAAATATGTAAAAAAAATAAATAAATAAAAAGTATACTTTAAAAAAAGATATGTAAGACATCTCACAAGTTTACATAAATAAAACGCAAACTTTTTGCATTTAACAATATTATTCTTTTTTTTGTTGATTGCCCTTTTTCTGTCTATCTGAGTTTTGATAAGAAATGAAAACAAACTAATAAAATGCTATAAATCCGGTGGTTTTATTTAAATGGGGCCATATTTTTCGTACTAATTGTGCACGAGCACCACGGACTGAGGAAATGCTCCATAAATTGATTCTCCTTCGCTTCTGATAAGAAGCCGAATCGGATGGCTGGTCAAAAAAGTCTGCACAAGGATTGCGACCTACCTCAACTGTCTGAATTGAGTTTATTAAAGTGAATATGGAACAAGAGAGAATTCTATAGCGACTATCAGATACCCCTTACTAAGCTAAAGGGTGTGCAAGGGAGATGAAGTTATGCATGTAGTAAGTCGACTGCTTGCACTGCTTGCATTTCATTATTTACTCATAACTTTTAAATAAAAGGTCTGATTTGAAATTTTGTTTTACGTTTTGATAGGTATTATTAAACACATCAAAATAGCATTTAAATATGTACATTCATTTTAAACTGAAGGTTTGAAATAATTAATAAAATAGATTATAGCTATATTTTTTTTCTTAGCAATATATTTCAATATAGTTAATTGGCAAAGCTGATTGGAGCGTCGTAAATATAAGATTATAATATATATAAGATAAGATTCAATGGGGTTTGGTTGAAAGAGCAAGGGACCACGGGGATGATTTATAGTTGCACTTGGTCAGTGAAACCGAGACCGATAAGTGCCAGCAGAACCGCCTTATAAGCACTCCGCCCAACCAGTTACCATATAGATCGCTTAAATCTCGTGAACAATATGAAGCTCGCTGTGTTGGCTATTCTTTTGGCTACTTTGGCTCTGGCCCAGGCCACCGACTACTGTTCGTGGGACATTTGCAACGGCGGCAGCCACATCGCCTGCGGCCACAGCAACTGGTGGGACAGCGCCTGTCCCGGCGACGCCGAGCTGATCGACATCAACGACGACTACAAGTGGGTCTTCGTCCACTCGCACAACGACAAGCGCAACTACATCGCCGGTGGCTACGATCCGAGCCACAATGCCGCCTGCCGCATGGCCACCATGGAGTGGGACGACGAGCTGGCCTACCTGGCCTCCCTGAATGTCCGCCAGTGCAACATGGTGCACGACAGCTGCCACAACACCGACGCCTTCAAGTACTCCGGCCAGAACCTCGCCTGGCAGGCCTACTCCGGCGACCTGCCCGACATGGGCTACATCCTGGACAATAGCGTGCAGATGTGGTTCGACGAGGTGCACAACTCCAACTCTGGAATCATCTCCGGAGGATATCCCTCGGGATATAGCGGACCGTAAGTTGTTTATAAATATTTTATAAACTATTTTTTTCGTGTGCCTAAAAGGTGTTATTAAATATCCAAGTGAACTCTTTAATACTTTAGAAAGCATGTAGAAAACATGTAGAAATCATGTAGAAAGTATGTAGAAAACATGAAGAAATATGTAGAAATAATGTAGGAAGAATTTGTAGCGTAAGTTCCTATTGAATCTTTTATAATCAATTTTTTTTCGTGTGCCTAAAAAGTGTGGTTAAATACCAAAGTTAACTCTTTAAAACATGTAGAAACTATGCAGAAAACATGTAGAAAGCATATAGAAAAGATGTACAAATCATGTACATGATTATGATTTTTTCTAAAAATGACACTAGCTTTGCTTAAATTCATTTAAATAACTTATTTTAATTTCCATAACAAATCCAGAGCCATCGGCCACTTCACCGTGATGATGTCGGAGAGGAACACCCGCGTGGGCTGTGCTGCCGCCCGGTACAACCGCGATGGATGGAACCAGGTGCTGGTGGCCTGCAACTACGCCACCACCAACATGATCGGCCGCCAGATCTACTCCAGCTGCGACTGGGGAGCACAGGGCTGCGGATCGGGCACCAACGGCGAGTTCGGCAACCTCTGCTCCACCTCCGAGTGGTACGATGTGAACAGCTGGTAAATGGAGATCCTTCGATCCAAGTAAAGTGTTTAATTAAAGGTTTATATTTCGAGAAATGAGATCCACAGAATGTTTTTTTTATTAAATTCTAGAACAAATTTATGGGATTATATTATCTATATCTTATATTATTTTCGGTTTTTAAAGTAAAATTAATTTTTTTTCGGTGTATTTAATACATTACCTTTTTTTGTATTTTATACTTGCAAACTTTATTGGTGTCAAATGTAATTTTATTTAATACAAATACGGAAAATTTTTAACATTAAGCGAGGTGAAATGCGAATAACGATGTAAACCTGAATTTGGCAATTTCTGTGTAATTTGGGATGTGATAAATATGTGTGCGTTCAGTGTCATACATATAATCGTCTGATTGGGCTTTTCTGGGATGCCATGTCCAAATATATGTTCGGTTCCTTCTGCTACTTCATGTTCACCAACTTCTTCTTGGATATCTTAGTTATCATCCTCTGAGCCCTCGGAAATATCGCTTAAATCGCTAAAAAACAGCTCGAGCCAATGTTGGTCCAGCCGATCTGCCATTCGCCATGGATAATAGTCGAGAAAGTCCATTAGATCGCTATCGCTATCGTTATTATCGATGCTTTGATTTTGGGGCCGTTGGTTCAGTTGGTTATTCTGGTTCTTGGGGCAGATTCTCCTCGGCAGTCCCACATCGACGATAGTGCCATTGGGCAAAGCATGCTTGTAGAAGCACTTGTTGCCAAAGGGACACCGTCCCTCGCCCAAGCGAAAGTACTTGCAATCTTTGGCGCCCAACGCGGAACGATAGTCCGATAACAGCTTGTCCTTCTCCTCCTTGGTGTCCACCCAAAAGGCGCTGGGGCACACGAAATCCGAGCAGACGCGACACTCGGGACAGGCTCGGGTCACTTTGTTCTCGAACTGCTTGGCCTGGCGCCACCGGCGGATGCAGTCGATGCAGAAGATGTGATTGCACTTGGAGAGGATTCCGAAGCGCCTTTCGCTGCGCTCCTCCTTCTCCACCACCGTGTCGAAGCAGATGCCGCACATCTTGTCCTTGGAACGGGCCATCGCAAAGGACAACTCCATGGCCTGTTCGTGCTGCTCCAAACACTCGCGATTGTGTTGCCTTCGCTGCTCCGGATCCCGGGGATGCAGGCAGTACAGGTGGCACATCTCGCAGAGCTCCAGGTGAACGGAAAAGGGACAGCGATCGCCTAGGACACACTGACCCGCCTGTGGACAGATATCACCGGGATATTCCGAAGAATCATTCTCGGCCGGATTCATAGGCACAAAAACCGGTGCATTCGCCCAGATCCTCTGCCGACTGAAGCTACTCGTGCTGGCCACCACCTGCTCATCCTTCAGCTCTCCAGGATTGGTAGTTGGATCTCCAGGATTGGGACTCGCTTTCTTTTGGTTGCTCAAATCGTGGGAGAAGCGACACATATTGCCAAAGCGACAGATGCCAATCAAATAGTAGCGGCAGAGGGTTTGACTGCGGCTTAGCGACATTCTGTGATGATCTGATGAATTCTGATTACGGTTATTGGTTTTCAAAAGGCGTTGCAAAATTAAAAAAAAAAATATTTCTTGTGTAAAATCTTAGTTGGAATTTCTCGGCAAATAGTATCTCTCGAAAATAGTAGGGCTAAGGCTACTAGTAGTGCTATGGCTACTGAGTTACTGAGCGGAGAGTGAAGGTAATGAAGATTTGAAAGTGATATCGAAAAGGTATTATTACTTAATTCTGTTAGAAAAATCGTTAGAGTTTTAAAAGCTCTTCGAAGGGTGTCCAAAAGTATGCAGCAATATGTTTCGTTTTTTCCTTTTCACTGCATACTTTTAGACACCTTTGTGGGGGATTTTAGAATAATTTAATTTTAATTAGTTTTATAATTTGGCATTTTTAGAGTGGGTTTTAGACAGACTTGTAAGGGATTTCCAATCAGATATTTCTTAAGTTTTCGGTTTTGGTTGAATCAAAGCCCTTGGATCTTCCCTTGTAATCTCCTCCGAACTGCCGACTGGCTCAACAGTTGTCGCATTTGATTTGGCAACTGGGTATTGAGTATTGTCGCAGATTACGGAATTCCACAGACGATTGCCATTGCCACATCTACGAGTATATTGCTTCCGGAACTCTAAAGCCCTGTTGTCTAGTACGTCGATAAGCCCGGGTGTGAATCCCCCCACCCATTGTGAGGGCAAGTGCTGTGTGTTATATTTGCCGAATTTGTCGTCAAATGTCTGGGTAATCAATTTATGTGTTCCGTCGTCGCTAGTTTTTGCTTTTGGTGGTCTAAGCACCGCGATTCGCCAGATGCCGCAAGCCACAAGCTTTTGTGCCATCTGAATAAGGGATGAGATCTGAGATCTGGATGGTGAAACAAATTCACCTGCGGAATTCACAACGATAACTTCCACTCATCTCCGCCTTGAGGCCATCAACTTTGACGGCCTGTCTCTCTGCCAGTCGCCTGTTGGTCCTGTTTACTCGTCCTGTTGCTCCTGTCCTGCACTCTAAATAAATTTCAACGAATAACTATGAATTGCCTGGGACAGCCCAGAATCAATGCTTTCGGGGATTTCGGGGAGCAACTTCCGATGCGAACAAAAGAACAGATCCCTGCCCACAGTTGCCTTCTTTTCTTATTATAATTTTTTTCCATTTTTTAGTTATACTGTCTACTGAAAAATTTCGTATTTCGTATTAGGTGCACAAAGAAAAAATGTTAAAAAAAATTTGCATTGAAATTATAAATTCTTTGTATATATGTTAAAACGAAAAGATTGTTTGTCTTTTGTTTTGGATTTGTTTTTGAAAAATGAACGACCAAATACTAAAAAAAAAATATTTAAAAAAACTAACTATCTCAACCGTTTATCGCAAAATATTTAAAAGTGTAAAAAGTGTTCTTATTAATACCTTTCGAACTGTAAAATAATTTTTAAAATCGAACCATCCAATAGGGAGTTATGAACAAATAATAAAACGACCGAAATATTTGTGCAGCCTGGATTTTCTCGCAGTGCCCAGTGCCTTCCGTTTTGGCGTACGTGAAAATGAAGCATTTTCCATTTGATGATAACAAAACATGTTTGGCATATTGATGAATGCCTCCAGAGAATCCAGAGAATGGGTGTCCCTATCTAGCTGCCCTTCCCTTCCCCTCCTTCCCTTTCCCTTCCCCTTTCCTTTCACATTTCAGCACATCTTGCGGCAGGGACTTGAATTAGGGAGCCCCATTCCTCCGTTCCATGCTCGATTTTAATGATGTGACTGACGGACGCCCACCGAAAAATGTACTTAACTTGGCTGCTTCAATGTTTTGCGATTGGGGAGATGGCATTTCCACTCCCCTCGTATTCGTATTATTTTTCCCTGGCTTTTGCTTACTTTTCATAACTACCCGCCTGTTTATATATGCGGGCTTCGGCGTTTGTTTGCTTTTTGGAATACGTGATTCGCCCACGGTGGGGATACGGATGTGGATGTGGATGTAGCATCCGTAGTAAAAATATAAATAATAATAAAAATAATTTCTCACTTCATTTGTTGCACAAATCGAAAAGAAGCTTGCCATCGAAGTTCGTTCGCTCCGTCGATTTATGTCTAGAATTCCAATGCGTATGTGAGAGCTTTCCACAGCTCATACTATCCTTTTGCTATACATAAAGTATATTTTATGCTCCACCCAGCTAATGAATAAATGGTCGTTTGAATAAATGACTTAATGAGTTTATTCATGAGTCTCTCATGGATTCAAATGTGCTCTTTCGAGTATACGCATAAAGAGTTGAGAGCTTAGAGGGGGAAAGACTATTAGCTTAAATGATTTCTAACCCCTAATATTTTATTTAAACTCTTTATATAATATAAAATTCTTTAAAAATAAATTGTAGAAAAAAACGGTGAGCCTAGAAATCAAATTCAATTCAATTACTGGCAAATTTTTAAGCACCGGCAGCTGGCGAATCGAATTCCGAACCAGGTGCAATTTAAATTACCAACAAAGTGTGGCAAGGCGTCTTCTTCTATCTTCGCCTGGATGTTGGGATGTGTGGCATGTGTAAGCCCCTGGGATATTCGCTTGAATATCTTATATATATTTTGAGTGCTGCACAGGAAGCATTAAAAATGTTTGATATCGGGAAGCCAAAAAAAAGGTAAGATAGCAAAAAAAACGTTGTGGCAAAAGTGTAGGTGCTTATTTTGGTTGGTTGCATCGAAAACAGTTTAAAAGTGCCGGCAAATTATGATGGAAAATTAAATAAATTAAAATACATTAAATGATTGAAAAGTGGTAAAAGTTATACAAGAGTTAAGAGCAGATTTCTTTATAACTAAACAATAAAAAATGAAAAATCTTATGCTTAGTTATCTAATAAAAATAATAACCTTAGAATCTTTTCAAATTCTTCTTGATTCCTTATTGTATCTTTGTATCTTGTAAGCCGTGAGTCTGGGACAATTATAAGTGCAGTACACACTTTTCAAGAACCACACACACGTACCCATTCACGCACACACTCACAGCTCTTCTTCAGTGGAAATAATATATTAAATTAGCTGCCAAGTTGTGAGCCAATTTCAATTTGTGCTCCGCGTGGCAAACAGATTTTAAGCCATGTCAGGAGGAGGTTTTCTTTTCCCTTCTTCTTCTTTTCCTTTTTTTTGTATGCTCCGTGTCGTTGACACTTTGAGGGTGTGTGTGTGTGTGCGGAACATTCATATGTGTGAGTGTTGGCTTGTGTTTGCTGCAAGCCGTAGCATACTTTAGAGCGCTGCCATTCATTAATCAAGTTCAGGGCACTTTAAAGTGGTCGCTTAGCCTCGACTCTGTCACTTGGAGCTGAAAACTGAAAGCTGAAGCCGAGGCTGCGGCTGAATCTGAAATTTCCACCGGAAAGGGGTTTTTTCCTTTTCAGAAAGAAATAACCTCGTACGCACAAAATATGAAAACAAACTATTAGTCTTGAAATATTTATATCATTTAAATCGAATTAATTTCTTGTTTCTCTGTCTTTAAAAAAAAAATATGTTTTGGCATATATAATAATAATAATATTTTTATAATAATAATTTAAGCTTTAAGTTTAGGCCTTAAAATGCCCAGGGTTAATTTTTTCATTTTCGCTTGGCTTTTTATATTGTTTGCCTACTTTTAGGCTGGTTTTTTGTCTTGTGTTACTGAAACCTTGAATTTGGAAAAACGATTTAAAAAACTTTAAAAAGCGAACAGCAAATAAATTGTTTGAATTATTTTATTATTCCAAAAAAATAACCTAATATTCTATATATATTAAAAATTTAATTAAATTTTTGTATTTAAAAGATTTTTATAAAGACTTTTATATGGTGTTCTTCTTCTTACCTACTCAATTTTTTCCCCCAGCAATATAAAAGCCAACTTTTCTTTTGCACGCATAACGTGTATAGCTATATTAAATGTAACATTTAATTTCTTACCCCAGTGCGACCTTTGGTACACTTTAGCTGGGTGTGAACTGTACCCTGCGGGCTCTGGGTTAGTGTACAGTGTACACTGTACATATGTACTGGCACTTTTTTTGTGCACACAATAGAGACAATATTGCCGGCATTTACATATAAATATTTATTGTCTTCTATGGCCCCAAGTTGCATGTGAGCGGTCAATTTGGCACGAAAGAACTGACAGGCCTTCCCCAAGGGGTTATATCTCCGTTTTTGGTGGCGATAAGGAGCTCTCGTTGTTTTTCCAGCAGCCCCTTTGTTTGTTGAGACGATGCTGTTAAGACGGAGGTTTGGGGCCCTTTTCTTTGGCTTTTTTTATTACGACTATCAACGGTTATTGCCTGCGTTTGAGGGAGGGATCTCCCATCCTCCATCCCCCAACTTCCATCTCCCAACTCCCGGAGGATTTGTTTGGCCTGTCCTCCGGCTTTATTATTTCATCATTATAACATTTCCTTTTGTTGTGGCCAAAGTACATATGTGCACGAAAATAAAGGCCCTAAGAATTCCACAGAAATATACCTACAAATATATTTATTATTATTTTTCTCTGAGATTATTATGCGGTTTTAATATATTTGTTAAATTTATTATCATTAGTATTATATTTTATTATTGATTAAACTTTTATCTAAATAGCTTTCATAAATATTGAAATAGATTCTATAATTATTATAATTTCAAATTGTTCAATCGCCATCTCTTAGAATGACAATAAATATCCTGATTATCTGAATTCTGGAACTAATGATTTCTGAAAAATAATTATAAATATATAATGAAAATAAAAATCCCCCCAAAAAGATGTCCCATTTGATGTGGCTGTATGATAGCATACCATGCCATGCTTAACTATAGAACTATATTACTATTATTAAATTGCATACACATAGCTTATAATTTGTTTACCCAACAAATGATACAACAACGATTTGCAACTGTCATGGGCATTTGGCATTTTTCATTCTGATTGTTGTCGTGAGCCGAGCGTCGAACAAACTAACTTATTTACTTATTTGTTCTTTATTGTTGCTGCCAATTATTCTGGTCACTCGGAAAGTACAAGGGCATGAGGCTATTCAATCAGTCAATCAAAAAAAAATCAAAATTACTGAGAGTTGAGAGTCCCGGTTCAATTCATCCAGCGTACTCTATTTATATATTTTTATACCAGTTAGCTAGTTTTTATTTTATTATTATGCTGTAGGTATTTTATATACAAATTTCCTAAATTTTTTATGACAAACTTATACAATTTTAGTACACAAACATCAATTGTTTTAATTATATTTTATATTATAAAACACCTTTTCATTTTCATTACATTACACATTTCGGTTTTTTGCCCAACTAACCCAAAAAAAAAACGCAACAAGTGATTGTTGCCAACTGGCGTCAATCTCGAATTAGATACGAATTGTGACTCAAGTTGACCATTAAAATTGGCACTTCCACTGAGGCATCCCTTTTGCCATGTTGGCTCCCAACCACATTTGTTGCGCTGGACCAACTTTTAACACCGATCTCTTACCATAACTAACCCAAAAAATAAGGTAGGTATATATTTATCTACATTAATAAAGGTTTTCTGTGTCGCGATTGAAATTATCTGAAGTGATTGGTGTGTTCCATAAGTACCCTAAGTTTGTATGTGACTTTCGTTTACCTGCAAAGCTTGGGCATACATGTACCTTTTGTTAAAAAGATTCTTAAATGACAAAACAATTTAAATTAATAAATAATTAAACATTCGTTTTTTCATTCGATAAAAAACTATTAAAATTTAATTCTTAATAAATATATAAATATATGTATAAATATATCTTAATTAAATGCAGCGCCACAGAATATTATAGATATTATAAAATAAAATTAAAGGGTATTTCAGACTCCATATATTATTTTAAGTACTTATATTTTGGGCTTTTTTCCCAAAAAGTCTGCTTTGAAAAAAATCATGTTTATCTTTCGCTTGACGCAAAGTTGGCTTCGTTGTTTGTTTTGGTCTAATGATCGGCGGTTAATAATTACCTTTCAAATTTATATGCAAAACGTCAATGGATTCGGTTAATTAGCGACAACACAATTAATCAATTGGGCAACGACGCAACGATCTCAAGTGATCGCTGATCGGGAGAAAGTGTGCAAAGAGTATTTGTTTATGTGCCCCACAAAATGGGGTGAAAATTATATAAAACCCTTGTTAAAATTTATATAAGATGAGAAAGAGGTTTTGCGAGAGATATGACGCCATTCGGCGATGCTATCCTAATCAGAAAAGTGTACATAGTTGGCATTATACATTTGAATACATTTAAGATAATCAATCGGTTGCATGTCTTCTCTGATTTTTTCGAGATTCTTCCGCAAATGCAAAACGGGTTTGAACAATTAAGTGTGTCAAAAAGATAGATAGGATAGAGTTTCAGGTAACTTCGTAAGCTGTTTCGTGGCGAAAGGCTAGATCATAGATCATATCATATCATGGACAGTGACTGATTTATCACCACCTCTGACTTTCTGACAGATGTCGCCGATGAGGCTGCAATTTGATTGCATTGTCTTGCGATCTAGGGTTTCCAGTAATTATGCTGAACAAAACTGCAAGCTGCAAAGCTATATATATTTGCATTCGCTCGGAGTGAAGTGAAGGGTGTTCGAACATAATAACAATTGGAAATTAATCAGCAAAGGCGGACAAAAGCGTTCCAAGCCACGGAGCAACGTGCCTGTGCCCACTTACCAGTTATTTTTTTTATCTCGCATTGAATTACCAAATAACTAAATATTATTGCTTGATTACAGATCGGGTGACTGCTGTGCTGCTATGCTGATTTTAATCGCTATCTCATTACGACCAGTTATACTTAAGCAGCATCTATAGATGCCCATAGGCAGTTGTATCTGAGTACATCAGTCGTACCTTACTTAATTGTACCTAAAACTTTTACAACTTATATTCTTTATAGCTTAAAAAAAATATTTATCTACTTATTGATAACGATAATAATATTTATATAAATAGTTCTCTTTTGATTTTCTTAAAAGTTGAAAAAGTTATAAAAAAATTCCTAAATTTTTTGATTAAATATTTATAAATAAAAATAAATATTAAAGTCGGATTAAAAAATTAATGTGATTTTCTTCTAGGTATTTTCCAAAGATCAGAACTTTTCCTCACCTAATTACCTCTTCCGATTTGTAGTACCTTTGGCATCGCTGACGTACCTGTAATCAGCTTTCGAGCAAAGACCCTAAGCATCTGCAACTGCAACTGCATCTGCAGTCAATGAATGCGCTTTTTGCGATTTGCGGTCTCCGCGGCATTGTGGCTTTGTGAGTCAAGGCCACGCAGGCCTTTGGATCACTGAACCCCTCCGCCCAGCGAAACCAACCCATCATCATCACCAGTAGTTATCATCATAGTCGGTTAGTCGGTGCTATTAAAAGTGCTATTAAAAGTGGCAGCAAGTGCGATAATTATGGACACCGCTCAAGAGCAAGCTGCATAGGCAGTGAAACAGAAACATCAGAGAACCAAACGTTCTAATTGAATGAAAAGCTGTGCAGCCATGAACCCCAAATCTCGAATAAAATGTTATTATAAAAACTAAACATTAACCTAAACTTAATCTGCGCTTTAACCTTAGCTTACCAATCATCGGTGTTTTGATAATTGCTCGCTTATTTATAAATCCCAAATTGATTCGTGATTGATTACTTATTACTTATTTCTCTTGGGCTTACCCCCGGCAATATTTCAATTGAATTTTGTCGTCGTGACATATGTTTGTTTGTTCTCCAAAGTGAAACGTTGTTGTAAGTTGCATTTCAGGTGGTTATTTTTTCCTTTACATTGCCTTTATAAACTATTATAAATTATAAACTCTGGAAAACTTTAATTCGATCAGCCAATTGGCGCTCTTACAATTTACACACATGACTTACGTATACGTAACATTTTTAGTAATTGAAATTTAAAAACAGATCGTCACACATTTTAATTGTCACTGAGGGGCGGTGTAGATTAGCTCAGTTAATTGTCGGATATTTAGAGATTGTATAAGGATGAACGGGGTTTTTAGTGATTACTTTTATTAACTTAGCTCCCAATTTAATCCTGGTGATAACATAAGTGGAATATAGAACATGGAAATTGACAACTTTAGTTGAATACTTATATAAAGTGTTGTTAAAATCCTAACATAAATTTAGGCGAATGCCAAAAATGCAAAAAAATTAGAGACATACCTACCATTAAAAAATAGTACATTTTTAAAATAATAAAAAAAAGTTTACAAACATTTTTCCATATTTCAAAGTTTTGTTGTTGCAATTACAAAAAGCCCAGGCTTTTTAAAAATGATGGATATATTTTTGAAATAATTTTATAAACTTTTTTATTTTAAAAATTAAAATTTTTGTTTTATTTGCAATGGAATTTATATCAACGACATTTTTTTCTTTTTAATTCTTTTAATTTAATTCCTAACCCCTGTAGACTACGGTTTTTATTTTGGGGGAGATCAGTAAAAAACCCATTTAAAGATCGCAAAACTGGTCTGAGAGGGGATTTTTCTCTGTTGCTTTTAAGATTCGTAGATTTTTTCAGTTCAAATTGGACCTTCGCTGGCGATGGGTTTCGTGTGAAAAAAGGAGGATTACACCTGTGTGTCCACCTGTATCTGTGCTTTCTGTTTCTGTTTCACTGTCTGCATCTGTGTGTGTGTTTCCCTGCGTCGACAGCGCTGCCTCGGGCTGATCGTGCCGCCCACTCGCCCACACGACGCATCGGAATCTGCCGACGGCGCAGCGGCAGCGTTACGGCGTTTTTACTTTTTACCGTAGCTACCCAGCTACCCAGCGGAACTCATCAAATTCAATACGAAATATTTTAGTCGCCGAGTTCAGCTCAACGCCGATGGTTTAGACACTGAGCCACAGCTCGTTAAGCCGAAAGTGGCGTCTGAGTAAATAAAATAAAAATAAATAAAAATAAACCAAATAAAAACTTAACCAAATAAAATAAAATAAAAATAAATACAACATACATTGTACATGGTACATGAATCCCATTTTGTTTACCATCCCCAAAAGCGATCCCAAAAGCGATCCAACTGCAATTGCAGCCGTGTAAATGTAAATGATTGCGAGCAAACAGAAACAAAAACAAAATAAACGGCAAAACGGCGATTAGAAAACAAACAAACAACAAAAAAAAAAAACAAACAGGAGGAGCGAATAAGTGAGAAATCAGGTAAAGCTGGAAAATGGAAAATGATTTAAGAAAAACGTTGAAGAAAATCGGTGGAAGTGGGGGATTTCCCAAGCAATTTACAATTACAGCATTCACATATGCTGTAGATGTATATGTATCCCCCGTATGTGTGTGTGTCAGTGTGTATGTCTTGCTCTTTTACTAATTTTATTAACGACATGTAAATTAAATCAAATCCGCTTGTTTGACCATTTCTCTCGCTTTTTAGTGCATAGGGTTGTCAAAAATATCCAGAATCTAGTGTAGTTATCAAAATATCATCATAAAAGGTGAACATTTTAACAGAGGTGATATGATAAAATCATAAATATATAAGATACATTTTTCCTAGTGAAATTACTTTAAAAAGTCGGTCCAAAAATGTATTTTCCTTACTCGTAGTTTTCTGTGTTTTCTTACCCATTATGTGCAGATATAAAAATTAATAAAATACAAAATTATATTAATTGCTACATTTCGACAACCCTTTTCTTAAATCTCGACAAATTTCGGTGACAATCTCGTACCATCCCTGGCTATTTGTCAGGCCCAATTAATTATAATTAGGCCGGAATATATTTAAGCAAATCGTATTTAATTTATTCTAATTTCGGTTGTTTTCAAATTTTCTGCGGCGTTTTTTTTTTGCAAAATGAGATCCGTGTTTTTCGTTGTTGCGCTATTGCTTGATTGCCCGAATTAGTGGTTCGTTTATCATTATTTTGATCGCCGACGTATAGAGATTCGTACCCTTTACTTGTAGAGTATATGGGAAATGGGAAAAGAATCACTTCCGATCTTCGGCGAGCAAAATCAGAACAAAATCTTTCGTACATATTTTTCTAATACCATATTTCCATAGTAAATGAAGATATATAAATATTTTGTTTAATGACAGCGAATAATGGGTATCTTCTAGTCGACCATGCTTTTCTTTATTTATTTTTTGTCAAGTTTTGTTTTGCTAGTCTGTTTCCAAAGCTTCTGCTTTTTTTTGATTTGCCGGAACTTCCGCAACTTGGAAACAGGTCTGCAGAGAAAAAAATGGGTTTTTAACCGATTAAAAAATATAAACAACAATTTATTATATAATTTAAAATACATGTAACATCGTGGATTACAATGTGCGAAATTGTTTGCCGTGCACAATGATATGATTTCCAGCCTGCGTTCGTGTGTCTAAATATTTTTAGCGGCTAATTTTACCATTGAATTGTGCATAAATAAATCCGAGAAGAAAAGTTTTGTCGTTTTTCTGTTTTTTTTTTTTGCCCGGCTAATTGTATTTAATTATTTCCAATTTAGTGGCCCGACTAAGGCAGAACTTTGTTTGTGTCACGGCCAGACTTTCGGAGCCCCGTATCTTTGTATCTCTGTATCCGTATCCGTGTATTGGCGTTCGTATCTGCGATTCCACACTCATATATCTAATTGTATCTGTCATAGACATGCAATTAATAACGTAAATGGGTAATTTGGAGCGCCATCGCTTGTTCGATTCGCCTGTGTGAAAAGTTTTGTCAAACCAGCCGGAAATGAGCGAAGCAACATTGGGGAAAACGGCCCGAAAAAATCAGACAGAGATTAGAAAATTAAATAATAGCACAATTATAGAGAGTGGGTAAAAAACGATAGGCACTCGCCAAATATTTGGTAATAATCGCTGTAATTTTTGTCATTTGTTTTTTATTCGTTATCGCTATGATTCACATCGTGGGAAGAGTCAAAATTGTTATTTGGTACACAGAGAAATCATTCAACCCAGTCAGCATGACATTTCGAATATAAAAGTAATAATTAGTTGGCGGTTTTAATGAGAAATCGGGTTTTTTAGAGAATGATTTTCAGCCACATTTGATGGGTTAAAAAAACATTTGCATAAAATTGTAGTTAAATTTCTGTCTAATCTAATTTCGGTTTTTTTTTTTTAATTTTAACCCTTAAGATTAAAAATCGTAATATTTATATACACCCGAAAAAAATACAGTTTTTCTGAGATCTAAGTTTACGCACTTGCGATTATAATACAGATGATATATGTATTCTTCTGTTACAGTGATCTCTCTCAAAGCAGTGAAATAATAAAGGTGAAATTTTTTTTTTCAAATTGAATGTATACTTTTTTTGGGTTTAAAATGTTTTAAATGGTTAATTACCAATACTTTTTCGCAGTGCCCCACTCCTAGTTTCGTATAGTCATGCAGTGGGGACCTGAACATCTGAACAAATGCTTCCTGAAGTTGCACATGGCCATAACCATCGATTAGGCTGGTTAGTATGCAGTACTGGTACTGGTAGTACTGGTAGCGCTGGTAGTACCCATGGCTACCATACTGCAAATGGAAATGGTGATTGGTGGCCAAATAGTTGTTGACGTGACCGATCGACGATCGACGGCTTGAGTTGGCTTGGCCTGGCCCCAAATGACCTCAATAGTGTTTCTTCCTTAAGTGGGTTCAACGCACGTCTGATTGTATGTTGTTTTCATTGGTTCGTCGTTCAAAAAGTGCACTAAATGCAGAACAGAAATTGCAGTTTCCCAATGTCAAGTGCACTCCAATGACGATGCTCCACAATTCTTCACTATTTATGAGCCATAAGTTGTGAGACTTTAAATGAATTAGTGCAAAAGTCACGCTTTCGGCATTGCAAATCTATATATAACATAGATGTAATATAAATTTATTTAGCTTTAAGCCGCAAAGTACAAAAAAGTCGAACAAAACAATAATCATTTAAGCAAGCATTTATCACTAAAAAACAAACATTGTTTTTTAATTTATTTGAATTTTCAGTTCTGGTTAAATGATTTGGGTCAACTGAGCACCCATTTAACTTGCAAATAACTTTGGCTATAAATACAAAGTATAGAAAATAGTTCGCTGATTCAGCTCGACTTTCTTTGTGAAATTCGATAATTGTTTAGAGGCCCTACTGTACTGTAAATATCCAAATCCAAATCCAAGTGTGGACTTTGTTCGCCATTAGCTTTCTATGTATTTTTCTACTTTTTACTCTGCGTCATCGCACGGCGGAAGTTGGAGATTAAAACGGTCAGTGCTGCACTTTATGACCAAGATGTTTGGGTGTGTTTGAGTGTTCGTTCGTGTGTGATCTGTGATCACCTGTCAAGGTCAATTAGCTTTGTCTAATTTTGGGTAATTTTAATTTTGTTAATTGAAAGAGGGAAATGGGGAAACCACCGCCAGATAAATATATATTTCTATTCTCCATTCGAAATGAATAGACAAAAAATTATATTATAATGAATTCGGGTTTAAAAGATGTTTACAAATTTTATAAAGCTATTCTCCATTATAACATATTTTTTTAAATTTATGTATAAATAATATTTATAAAATAGAAATAAATGAATTCAGATTCAAAAGATTTTCAGAAACAAATTATATTTGTGAATTATGGATGAATAAACAAAAAATAATACTTTGGAGTTTTTTTTTTAATATAGGTATAAATATAGATTAACCGAAAATATAGATGATCTCTAAAATTTTGGTTGTTACTCTTACAATATATAATAAATACTGAAATTGTTTTTTTGACTTCCCAACTTCAGTGCGTGTCTATATGTTTAGCTACAATCTGCTTAATTAAGGTTCTTCAATTTTTAGGCATTCCCTTGGGCGAATTCTTGGCGATAAGGTTAATGCGCTTGACACGTGAAGTTGCCAATGGAATGGGGGAATAAATGACATATAGACGGGTGGGCATATGCTTTAAGCCAAAATGTGGCAACAATTGTGTAAACACTTTTGACGAACAAAAACAAAAACAAATGCACTAAGCAAAACAATTAAAAGCTACAACGCAAACGCAACAAAATGCGAAACAAAAAGGCAAGTGAAAAAATGGCAATGTCGTCGCTGTCTGGGATTTCCAAATCCCAAGGGGGTTCAAAGATAAAGTCGAAGCTGCAGACCCGGAGATTTCGATTTCGAATTCGTTCCTACAGATCGGAGTTCCACTAATTACATTTCGCAATAGAATTTCCACTACAAACTGGCTTCATTAGCGGCCTACAAGCGGATGCTGGAGTGGGGTTTTTTAAGAGTAAAAAAAAGAGGGGCACGAACACCTGTCTTCCAAAGATAACAGAACTTCCCCACCGAAACGCCGTGATAATAATAATAATAATAACCTTCAGAGATCGCATGTTGACGTCCCACTTTGATTGACTTTGACTTCTCTTGAAGTGAAATGCTGACACAGTTAAAAAAAAATAGTTAATAAAAGTTCATAAGACCACAAAGAAGTACGCCAAAATATGGGAACTTAAATACCTTATTATCAAGTAAACGAAGTAATGTACCTTTAAGGAAAGACAAAAAAAGATAATAAGACCAGATAAAAGATTAGCAGTGCAAAGAACCTTGTTAATGGACTTTTAATTAAATTTATCAATTCCGTGTTTATGACAATTCAATTTAGATAACAGAGGCTAATTAACTTTTGGGGAGACGAGGGGCTAGACTACATAAATTACCCTCGAAAACGCTAAAACCTAAACTAAGAATAAAGTAGGTCATTAAGATCTGCTTAATTAAAGACACGAGCTAAGGTCTAGACAACTTATATGTATGTAGAAGAGCTCTATAAATGAGCTCTAAGAATGAACGAATAAATCAATGAATCTTTCTGGTCGAAAATCGGAAGAGTTTTAAATTAATTACCGTTTTTTTCTAGACTTATTAATATTAATTATTTATTAACATACAAGTTTTTCAAGTTTTTTATGTTAAAGCATTTCTAACACTAGTTTGAATTATGTTATTTCATAAATTTAGAACTTTAATAGAGGGAAATATCTTATTTCATAAGTGTTATTTAGTTTTTAATTTAATTTAATAATTATTTTTTACTTATAGATTCTTTTTAGCAGGATGTCACCCAAGGACGGCAGCCTGGGCGATGCCAAATTCGCCAAATACACGGTGAATCACGAGTCACCGCCACCTAATCCCAATCCCACCCCTCCTCCAACGACCACGACGACACTTTCCCCCAGTGTGGATAAATCGAAGGATAAGGAAAAGGATAATGTCACAACGACCCCGCCCGTGAAGCGATCGTGGCGGGAGAAGATCCGTCTGGTGGCCAACAACGTCACCGTGGAACCGATCCTGGCCGCCTACATTATGCCCAGCGTGCTCTCCAATCTGGCCACCCAGAACCTCAACCTGGAGAAGGCCTGTCGGGTGAACATGGCCTACGGAGACGAGGTGTGTGATGCACTCACCCGCCGCCAAACAGCCAACTACACACTGTAAGTGATTTAACTAGCGGGTGTATAGAAAACCCATACTACAGTGATAAAAAAGTGGTAAAACCGAAGATTTCATAGGCAATTAATATATTTTTCATCCATTCTAAACATTGATTAACATATGAAATTATTTTTTTAATGATCTTAAATATTGCTGCTATAACATTTTTCTAAAGTCCAAATGCCCAAATGTAGGCAGTGTTATAATTGATTTTACCTTCTCTTTCTGATTTGTTCTGTGCTTTTAGGCACCGATTTATATTTTAGATTTTAAAATCTACCTTTTTGATTACTTGCTTAAAAATAAAATTCAAATTGTTAAAAAGACAAAGGGATTTCCTAGCTTCCATACTATTATTTAATAATATATCCTTTTATTTAATTTGTATTTATTTTTATTTCCCAGTGAGGAGGAGACCGTGCAGCAGATGGTGGCGAGGATGGCCGCCTGGAAGACGGTGATCCAGTCGCTGTTCCCCTGCCTGCTGATCCTGTTCTGGGGCTCGTGGAGCGACCGCCACCGCCGGCGGAAGCCCTGCATCCTCATCCCGGTGGTGGGCGAGTTCTTGGGGGTGGTGGGCCTCATGCTGTGCGTCTACTTCGAGAAGGCGCCCATGGAGGCCGCCGCCCTCACGGAGGCCATCTTCCCCTCGCTCAGCGGCGGCTGGTTCACCATGCTGATGGGTGTCTTCAGCTACATAGCGGACATCACCACCGAGGAGGATCGCACGCTAAGGATCGGCATCCTCAACGTTTGCTTCTCGGTGGGCGTGCCCATCGGCATGGCCTTCAGCGGAGTCCTGCTCAAGTGAGTTCTGATTTTTCTTGAGATTTTATGCCTTTTTTCCGTTTTCAAAATATTGAAACTTTGTTTGTGATTTCCAAACAGCCTTTCAGGCAACTGCTTACTGTTCAAAACTAATAATCTTGACTAATATATAAAGTTTGCCCAAAAAAACGGGAGGTAGCCATAATTACCCAGAACGGGTTGACCTAAAAATCTAAAAAAAAATAATTATTTTGGAAATAATAATATATAAATAATAAAGGGGTAAATTCTTAATATATTGGATAATTTCAATAAGAAATAAATTGAGTAATCAGATAAAATATCAAAATTTGTATAGTTTATACGTTTACAGAATCGAAAAGACCACTTATTAAATTAAAATTCATTCCAGGCAAATTGGCTTCTATGGCGTGTTCTCGATCTCGGCCGCCTTCTACGTGATCGCCTTCGTCTACGGGTTCTTCTTCCTGGAGGAGCCGGTGGCGCGGCCGGAGAAGAGTGCCGGCGAGCAGAAGAGCCTGCTGGCCGACTTCTTCGACAAGGAGCACGTGGTCCAGACCTTCCGGGTGGCCTTCAAGCGGGGCGAGAACCAGCGCCGCAAGCGAGTGATCCTGCTGATGATCGTGGTGATGGTGATCATTGGTCCGCTGCATGGCGAGATGGCTGTGACTTACCTGTTCACCCGCTTCCGCTTCAACTGGTCGGAGGTGGAGTTCAGCTTCTTCTCCACCTACGCCATGTTCACCGGCCTCATCGGTGTGATCTTCTGCGTGGGCGTGCTCTCCCACAAGCTGAACATCGATGATGCTTTGGTGGGTGTGCTGTCCAGTACCTCGAAGATCCTTTCGTCCTTCGTCTATGCCTTTGCCACGCTGCCTTGGCACATGTACTTGGGTGGCCTGGTGGAGATCTTCAATGGCACTGCCTTCATAGCGATGCGATCGATAGCCACCAAGCTGGTGTCCAAGGACGAACTGGGCAAGGTGAACTCGCTGTTTGGGGTGGCGGAGGCCCTGATGCCCATGGTCTTCGCCCCCATGTACACCACCCTGTATGCGGCCACCCTGCGCGTCCTGCCGGGAGCCTTCTTCCTCCTGGGCGGCGGACTGACCCTGTTCTCTGTGTTCATATTCCTGTGAGTAAACAGTAAATCCAAAGATTTCATATTCAATTTTAATATTTTTCAACTTTAAATATAAAAGTATTACATTTAACAATTAATGTATGTCTGGCGCCCTTATCCTAACAAATTTGTAAAAGTGTAAATGCCATTTGCTTATGTTTATTAATACTTATCGAAATGGGGAAGAAATTTTAGAATCGGACCACTCAGTAAAAAGTTATGAGCAAAAAAAGAAAGAATAGAATGCAAGCAGTGCAAGCAGTTGATTAAATACTTGCATAACATCATCTCCCTCCCTCTAGCTTAGTAACGGGTATCTGATAATCGAGGTGATCGAGTAATCTTTGGATTAAATATACATATATTTATTTTTACTACGCCATTTTTGATTTAATTCAATTAATACTATCTATAATCTCCTTTTAAGATGGATGTACCGCTTCCAGGTGCGCCAGCGGCGGAAACTGGCCTCGCCGGATGCGGAAAGTGCCGCCAGGATGTCCGTCAAGGATCCGAATGGCAATATCAACGCCATCGAAGCCTTGGCTCTGGCCAGTGAGGCCAAGGGCCAGATGAACGGCATAGTGGCCAATGTGATACACGAATCCTTGGAGCACAGCGAACCGTCCACCCAGCCACCATCCACTAATAACACCAATATCACCAGCGAATCCAGGGGCATCGAGAATCCAGGGTTTGTTCAGGAGGAGGTCAAGGTCAAGGATTGTTAGGCGAGATGAGAACGGGATCGATAGCGATCATATCCCATCCTCATGTATGTACATACTCACATTCCGCTAAGGGAATCGGGATCAGGTGAGCAAGTAACCGGAAAGTGATTCGAAAAATAAAGAATTTCCAGTGTTGATAAATCGGATAAAGAAGTGAGATGATAATCGAAATTTCGATATATCGATTGAAATTCTCCAGTGAATTGAACTTGCCGCGAATTATTCTTGAGCCTGCACATAGTCCCAATCCCAAATCCTAAACCTAAATAATGTGTACAATTACAAAAATTATTTTTTTTTTATTTAGCCATAAGCTTCTAAATGTATTTCCGTTTTCGTTGTAATTATATCGTATGCTACTCCGATTTGTTATTTTTATAATTTCTTTTTTTGCCTAGCTGTAAGGAGCGTTAAGAAGAATTTAATAAATGTATCATTGTCCGAAGCGAGTGGTTGATTTTTACTATTACACTAGCTAACAAATTAAAATAACTGAATATAATAAATGGTCTTTAAAAAATTAAAATAATATAATTTTAGAATTTATTAAAAAATGCAGGTAGGTAAAATATACAACAAATATGGAAATAATTATTTTGTAGGCTAATGTTTTTTTAGCCATCGTAATCAGTGTTGCGGCAAACAATTACACACACAAATGGACTAGTTGGCGTTGGGTTAAATGGACTTCTGGCCGCGAGCCTATCGCTCTCTTCCTGCACATAACCAGGAAAACAGGATGCCAGGAATCCGGGGCCAAAAGGACGAAGGATATCGGACTGCGGACACGGAGCACTGAACAATTGGTTTGCTCATGTCGCTGATAATTGTCGATTACGTTGCACAAAACGGATGCGTTTTGTATCTGTATCTGCCCCTTGTTGCATGTACATATGTATATGGCATGTGGCCTTAGCTATTGTTGCTCTTTTTCGCGGCATTTCGAGGCATGAAAAGGTTCCGAGTGCATTAACTGTGTGATAAGGGAATCCACCCTATTGTAAAATTATTGCAAATTATTATGTGCGTGCCAGTTGTGACAGGAAATTCCTATTATGCTAAATCGAGTTTTGTAACAGGAGATATTTTTAATATTTTCAGCTTATCCTTTTTTTTAAATCTCTGGTTTCTAAATAAGCTAACTAATTTGTAAACCCAATATTTTTGCTAACTTACAAGCCTATTTAGATGTTTATGGTAAAACATTGGACAACTGTAATCATTAAGAATGAAAAAAGGTAAGAAAAAGGTTAAAACCGGTTTTTGAAGAACTCGGGATCCTAAAGAACGAGGTCTAAATTCAGTAGCAAAATCAAATAGGTTATAGGCAATATATAATGACATCTTTACCAGAGTATACATAAATAAATAAACTAATAATAAAAGTAATTATATTTAAAATTTAAATGATATTTATAATAATAATAATAAAGAAGAGAGGGTATTCAAAGGTCGCAAGGGCAGCCTGCATTGCAATCTGCTGCCACATTATTGCTGGCCGGGCATTTTTGTTTTTCATTTTGTTTTGGGAACTGCACGTGGCACCTATTGCACTTGACAGCAGGACTTTCGGTGGGGGCGTGGCAGGGGCGGGGGCAGGTTTTAACTGCGACTGGCATCAGCATTTAGCATCCTCGCCTTTCGTGGCCTTTAATTACTTTTTCGATAGTCGGTATCGGTCGAAGCCCACCTGGAAATGGAAATGGAAGCGGAACCCACTCCAATCGGTTCTTCCAACTTTTCAGCTGGTTTTAAGGCATCGTTTTAAGGCCAGGAAAACTTACACAACAAAAACACACGCTGGAAATTTGATATCGCCTTTGTTCTTCGGACTTTCGGACTTGTTCGAGATGATCCGTTGACCCATAAATAATTGGAGTAAACAATGGTCTGAAGTGTGGGGAAACATGGCCATAAATCAGTGGCCAGCTGCATTTAATCTGGCTTAAACACGCATTTTCTTGACAATTTCACAGTAAACTGTTCATTAAACATGTCCCTCGGCTTGTTTTCGTTTTTCGGGGAATGAATGTAGCCGAAGCACTCTCCATAATTAATACCCCGTTTATAAATCAAACAAATTCTATCGGTTAATCAAATGCGAGACCGAAAATCAAATGCAAAGGCTAAAGGCGACCGTCTTCATATGGATTTGTGTGGCATCAAACGAGTTAATTAAGCGTGAGCTCAGCCAAAAAAGGCAATGGAATAAGAGTATAAAAAAATGACTACCATTCATTGCGACTTGCGACATACTCATTACTTTAATTCATTTTATTTATTTACTTTTTAAGTGAGTTTTTAAGACCCTAATTTTTTTTTTTACCACAGAACATGCTCTGTTTTTCATAAGAAATTATTTACTATTTATTTTATATATTTTAATTATTTTTTTTAGTGATTTAAACCCCCTAATTTATAATTTTACCACCGAATTGTCATAGATTTATTTTGTGCTGATCTATTCCTGTTATAAAGATGAGGACTTATTGATCCCTTTGAAGTAGAGGGTGCAAAAAAACCCCAGAAAGCAATGGCAAAGGTTAAAGAAACTCGAGGAATGACGAAAGTCAAGGGATTTGACCGTTAAATTCCCGCAGAGGGTGGCTAACAAGCACACACACTTGCACACTTGTATTCAAGGGAAGGAGAAAGTCGGACATACACGATGTCAGTAAGCCTATTTTGTCTCTTGACCTCATTCCTCGAAAGCCCAGACTTTCGCTTTCCCTTCCGCTTTTACCGCTCCTTCCGCCTCCTTTTTTCTTTTGGCTGTTTCTGTTTCCGTTTCCGCCTGGCCAACTCCACCAACTCCACATTTCGAGAGTCCGACTTCGATGGCAAATGCTAAGTAGTTTCGCTTTTAGTGCAAAATACTTGCCACCTCGAACTCCTCCACCTCAGCTTCCTGCCCCACATTTCTCCCCTTCTCGGCCACTTAACATTTCTTTGACTTTGATATTTGCCACACTGGAGGGATGGAAAGGTTTTATTTGGTAAGCTCCCGTGTGGGAGTGCTGGCAATTTCCTCAAGAGGATTCGCGTTGGGGAAGCCCGGATCTCGAGTTGATGTATGTGTGTGCCCTCCTAATCAATCGAATTGCTCGCAATCCAAAGTCAAAGGAGCAACCCCGAAATGCAAAGTCCCCGTCCGTGGAACTTAGACCCATCCTGCCATTGTTTGCCCTGCCCCCAAAGTCAAAGTCAATGTTGAACTTCAAGTTGCAATTGCAGTGAATATTTATCGAGAAGAGGGCAGTTAAATAACTTTTTTGGTCTTATTATTGTCTCTAGAAGTTTATTTTGGCCTAAAAATATATGTATATAAATATTGGTAATTTGGCCGAAACAAAGGAAATAATAGCCCAAACATGGAATGTCATACCTTGTTGAACTCGTATTTAAATTCTGAATCAATTTGCATTAAAACCTGAAAATTTTTAAAATTTGCAATTTTTTGCAAAAAATGATGATGGTACCCCTTATCAAAAATGCGAAAATTGGATCCAAAATTATTTTTTTTAATTCAGACGGAAAGTGCTCTGATATTAATTATTAGGTCCTCAGCTGCTCAAAACAGTACGCCTTTTTGATTTTGGAGCATATTTCGCCAAGTTACAGCCAAAAATCGATTAAGAAAAATTACAAATTCGTACCAAAAATCAACATCCTGATTTTCCACCCAAAAAATGTAGTATTTCGGTCATAAAAATGGAAATAATGATCCAAATATGGAGTGTCATACCTCGTTGAACTCGTTATTAAATTCCCCATCGATTCTCATTTAAACCCGGAAATTTTTAAATTTTGCCATTTTTTGCAAAAAATGATGATGGTACCCCTTATCAAAAATGCGAAAATTTGATCAAAAATTAATTTTTTTAGTATAGACAAAAAGTGCACTGATATTATTTATTAGGTTGTTAGCTGCCCAGAACAGTAAGCCTTTTTGGTTTAGGACCATTTTTGGCCAAGTTACACTTAAAAGACTATTAAAAAAATCAAATTTTTACCAAAAATCAAGATCTTGATCTGATATGAACAAAAAAACAAAATGTTAATCTTTATTTATATTATTTTTGCATATATTGCATTTCTTTTACATAACATTTTACTACACTTAATCTGTATAAAATAAAAAGAAACTGCAAGTTGCAGCCAGTGTCGGCAATTAAGGCAAAAACAGTTGGAGAGTAAAGTCTTTGTGTACACTGGCTACTCATTCACGCCTCCCATCGAGATCCCTGACTTCGTCTTCATGAGCAGCTCCAGCTCGAGTCCCTTGTAAAGTCAATTGGTTCGCCACCACAACATTAATGTGGCCCCTGTTCCGGACTCGAACTGGGAATCGGAACCCTCCCCTTAAGTAAATATTTGGCCTACGTGCCCATTACGTGATTTTCCGATAGTCGTCTCCCATCGATAAAGACGACGTTGAACGGGGAAGATGGGAATGGGAATGGGACTACTGATGATTGGTGATGCTGATGGGAAGGTGCACTTGAGATGCAATGCTAATGCTGCATCGCTTTGGTCGGCGCTACTTGAGTGGAGGATGCAGAACGGAAACCTCGGGGCGGCATGCCTCGATGGCAACGAACTGGGGATTGGAGATTGGAGATCCCATATACCATTTACCCATACCAGAAACCGAAACGCGAGATTTGTCTAAATCTTCCGCTGAAATCGGTTCGTTTTCGGTTCGTTTGGCTTCAAAATGCCGCGCAATCGGGTAGATCGATGGGAACTAAATATTTTAGGATGCATGGGGAAATGTTGTTTTCGTTATATGTGGGAGTAAAATGGTGAGTATTAAATATATTCAAGCTATAAAGTTTTGTCTGAAATCAGAATAATTCTTTTTTTTTCCTTATTTTAATTATTATTTTTTCTTGTATTTTTAAAATTACAGTGCAATATTCTAATTGGTTGATTTAATGCTTCCAAATGCCTGTTTAATATTCTGTCACAAACAGAAGACCGTTGTGCAGTGGCAAGTGCAAATAATAATTTGTTTCGAAGAGCGAGTGCAAAAATAATAATAATAATTATAATGTGTGTTATACATCTGCATGCCGCGTTTTTTGTTCATTAACTCGGCTTTTGGGACGAGAGAAGAGGCAAATCCAACCGCAGAGTCAAGAGCTCCGCTTCGGCAACAAGGATGTGTTTCTATCTGTCCGTCCGTCCGTTCGTTCGTCCTGCCATGACCTCCTGCCACCCGGAATCGTCCTGTTCCTGTTCCTGCCATATAGAAAACTTTATGCTTCGTTAAAAATGATGTACAAATCAAATGCCAGAAGCAATTTCCCGGCAACAATTACAGCCAAAACACCAGCAGCCAGCAGAGCAACTCCGCCAAACCACAACAATGCGGGGCCAAGATGTAAGGGAGTGCCTGAAAAAGAGCACTGGAAAAAATGCAGTACAATAATAATAATTAAGAAAAGAATAATAATGGAATCTAAAATGAAATTAGTAAAACAGAAATAATAAAAATAGACAGAAAGTGATAGCTAATTTGAATTACCCCTGCATAAAAAAAGGATATTTCTATTACCTTTTTTTTCTCTCTGTATAGACATTGTCAGAGAATTTCGGCTATAAAATATAAAAACTTTAAATTGCATTAATATATTAAAATATTATTTTAACAACTTTTATCTTCCAACATGTTTAATAAATTCACAGCGAAATTTCGCTCCGTGTAGAAGTCAATCCAGGGTCTAAGGGATGTGTGTGTTGCGGCGGACAGGCCAAAAGCTTGCGTAGGGCAATGAGCAAAAATAAATAAATCATTTAAATGAAAAGAAAAAAAACACAAAATAAAATAAAGGCATACAAAAGCACACGGATGCCAAGGGAAGGGCTCATTAGAAATACACAGAAGCAACCACAACAGCAGGAAATAACCGAGAAATAACTAATATTCCAGCAAACATTTCGGAAGCAGTAAGCCGAGCTATTTCGGGAAATTAATTGAAAATTTTCTTTAAAAGGATTGTTGAGAAAACTATATTTTATGGCTCTGGTGTACAAAAATATTCTTTACATTCTATTCAATAAAAGATGAAGTATATATTCTTTAGATAAACATTAGGAAATTTGCTTGAATTAATTGAAGCCTTTGTTGCTCACACATTCCTCCCTTCCTTTCATTTCCTCACTTTCAATCTAGTGCCACGCCCCAAACGAAAGGCGTTGACCAGCGGCTTCATTGCCATCATCATCATCATTTGAAGCAACTGAGCCCACTGAGCTCTATAATGATCGTAATGATCAGGTGCTGGCCATTTGCATTTCGCTTAAAAGCGGCCAAGTGCGAGAGGAGGCGTCATAATTACATGTTGCGCACTTTTCGGTGCACAGAGAGAAAATTTTATACTTGAATATAAATGATATAATCAAATATATTATAAATATCTCAAAAATAAATCATACATTTTTGTTTCATTTATTTTATTTACTTTATTTATTATCAAAAAATATTATGGTTTAATTGTTACTCTACAAAAAACTTGTATGTGTCTTAACTTAATTTTGACTGGCATTTTTCTGAGTGCCTAAGATCTGAGCCTGGTCAAAAGCTGAAGCTGCGGTTCGCTTTTTGTCGCTTCGGGCAGAGTGAAATCGACCGAAAGTTTTCCTCAATAGGGAAAAGCAATATCAAATCATATCTCGCTGCGGTTAGCCAGTTTGCTAGGTTTCCTAGGCGAGGAAGCAAATGAAATTTAAATTCCATTAAGGGCAACCTCCGGAATTAGCGAAATGTGGACCCAAATCAAGAGAAACCAACGTCGGCAGCAGGTCAAAAAAGGAGTCTTCGAGGAAGGGGCAACATGTGTGGGTTGGCATAAATATTTACAAACAATGACGACGGCAGAAACAAATCCGTTATAAATAAAACATAACGAAAAGGAAAAGATTTCCAGCTACGAGTGAATCCACTTGAAACGCAAACCCAAAACTGGAATTCGAATTCAAGCCTGGGGACTGGGAACTGGGGACTCTTCATCCTGGTAAAACGAAAACGAAGAAATAGGAGCCCAAAAAGACGACGAAACGACGAAAAAGAAAAGATGTCAAAAACAATAAATCAAAAAATAAAGCAGCCGAGCAGACGAAGTGCACACGCAGAAATTAATGGTAATTTTATTATTTGCCTCTTGAAATTTAACCCCTTTTTCTATGTACTAAATTTGGATTTGCAAGAAAAAATGGGTTAAAAAATTACTTTTACCAATAAAAAACCTTGAGTTGAGGTAGTATTTATATTTATATATTTTTTATCCGCTTACATTGATTTTAAAAAAATTACCTAAAACTTTTAAGTATTACCAACAATTAAGGACTGATGTAAAGCTCGTTTTCTATTTATTATTAACAAGTAAATAAACTTTCTTTTCATCTTTACTAAATCTAGCCAATAATAACCATGAATAAAAATATTTTCTTGATTTTTACCTCTACTAATTCCAGATTGGCTCAGTGCTCGAACGGAAGCCCTGTCTCAGAGACCGGCGAAGCTGAAGATTTCTACCGGCACGTTCCCTTTGGCTTCCCTCTTTACGAATACAAATCGCTGGCCGTGGGGCATGCCGCTGGGCAAGCTCCGAGCATTAAGCATTAAGAATCGCTTTTTTCTTTTTCAGGAAGAAGACATCCAACAAAAACAAAAACACAAACTGTTGCGCAGGCGTCGCTGTGTCTGAATTCAACTGAATCTGAATCCGACTCCGTTACCCCATATTGTGCAGACATATCTCTACATATCTCCACATCTCCCCTGTCTGCAATTAGCATTTCTGAATGAGTGGAATTTTCGAAACGGAATCATGACAGCGGAAGTTTTGATTTTGAGAACGGTGTCTTTGTTGTAAGGAAGGTGCGACCTGAAATCGAGTAAGGTAATGTACGTTTACGTTTTCTTTCAGACAGCATTTGTGCGCAAAATGTCTGACGAGGGGGAAAGTATCGAAAGTTATGAATAAATTTACAAATTATAAATTATGGGATTGACAATTCGCAGTAGATTTGTTGCAAAGAAAACTTATTATTTTTGTTTTGGTTTAAGATTCAAAATTAAACTAAAAATTAAAATTAAGTATACATTATGTTAGATATAAGAAAATATTTTTTAAATTCCATTAAAATCAGTTTATTTTCCTCTTTTAATAGCTCAAAGATTAAGGGTTCAAAGATCTTTCCTTTTCTGACATATTTATTGAGTTCCCTATCAACATGACTTCAAAAATCGCTGCAAAAGAGAGAGAGAGCGAGCAACAGATGTTGATAAAATCAAACGGTACTCAAACTTATCATTTCATTTATTTTTTACAATTTAAATGCAGTTTTATTATCCTCGAGAAATTGTGGGTAATGTTGCCGAGCATTTTATTTATTTTGGTTTTACTTTTCAAGTCTAAATGCACTTCTAATAACATTAAGAAATTGTTTGAAAAGTTGCTGGGCATTTTATTTATTATGTTTTCATTTTTCTAATTTAAATGCAGTTATATTTGTTCAAATATTTATATTTATTTTATAAACATCAAGAGATTTCATGGGAAATGTTGCCGAGCAACACGAAATGTTGCTAGCAGCATCCGCTCTCAACATCAAAAGCAAGACCAGAAACCCAAGACCGAGCCAGTTGTTCAGTTGTTCGGGGAACAGTTGTTCGAATCAGTTTGCCAGGTGAACAACATTGAGCGCGCTAGCGAGCGATTTCGAGGCGATTCCGAGGCGATTTCGAGGCGGTCGAAGTCGAATTTAACCGAAGTGCGCGTCGGGCCTTCGTTCCTATTTTTTTCTTTGTGCTTCTGTGCGAGTGAGAGAGAGAGAGAGCAAGAGCGAAAGAGAGAGAGAGAGCGCGACAAGGAAGGAGCAGCAGCCTCCGCGACAAGGAGTTGAATATATCACAGTGTGTTAGGACGAGAGAATCATCAAACGATTCGGAACGCAGCGAAACGATTCGGAACGAAGCGACCGATTCGAAACAGAACACAGGACCTTTTTTGGGGGCAATTGGCGCGAGGACGTCGCCGTGGCGAACAGAAACACGCTGGCCGTTGACCGAGTGGCAACGTAGCCCGGAGAATCGGTTTGGAGAATTGGTTCTTGAGCGAAGAAGAGAGTGTATCGTATCGTATCGTATCGTATCGCATCGCAAGTGAGGAACTCCTAAAACTGAGACTGAACTGAGCATTTCGCAGCTGTTGCATGCTGTTGTGGCAGACTCAGTGACGCCGCGAGTGCCGTCGCCACCGCGTCTTTGGTTTTTGTTGTTTGTTGTTTGTTTGGTGACCCCGACGCGATCCTCTCGAGTGTGCAGTGTGACCCAGACAGCCAAATACTAAGCACATTTAAAACAGTGAAACGGAAAGAGACACACGAGTCCCGTCGGGAACGAGGTATTCGCATTCGAGCCAATGTACGTAACAAGCTGCCGCCGGAATCTCGTAAAGCTTCGAATATTCCCTTGATTTTATAGTGTTAAAATAAGGATTATAAATAGAAACTACAATTTATTGTCCGAGTTATCTTATTCCCATTTTAATGGGTAGTTCAAGTGGCTGCTTTGAAAGGAAGATAAAGTTCATTTTGAAAACATAGTGGGGTTCTCAGGGCTACACAGAGAGAATTTCTTAACTGGGTTAAAAAACTTTTACTAAAAATAGAACGAAATGTTATTAAGTTATAAATGTTTTTTAAGGTGCTTGAATCAAGTTGAATTGGCAATATATTTACAATGTTTATCTCAACAGACATCCCAATTCAAGTCAGATTGGCTAGAATATTTATCTCTGTGTATAGGAATTCATAAACTCAGATAGTGGGTTTCAATTTTCTACTGTAACTATATATCATTTGTTTAGTATTTAAAAGTGAAAAGTGTTTTGAATAAGAAGTATTATATTGAGATGGTATGAAAATGTTTAAATTGTCTACAGTAATTATATATAGTTTTTATAATAATTAATTTAATTTAAATATAAGTGAAGTTAGGGAACCAACTATAGTTGTTTTTACCTTCAAGGGTTCCATTCTATGGAATCCATTATACAAAAACCCGGGAATATTCGTAGCTAGATGGTCAGAAGGCCAAGTCAGCAAAGTGAATCACCTACTTAGTTCTACCCATTTCCGATTCAGGGTCAGGATGGGCCGACTGCTGAGCTGCCTGCCTGTGATCCTGGCACTGGCCATCGTCCAACTGGGACTGGGATCCCACTCCTCGGCCGCCGGCATATCCTCCAACGATCCCTGCTACTTCGAGGGCAAGCCGCGGAAATGCCTGCCCAGCTTTGTGAACGCCGCCTATGGGAATCCCGTCCAGGCATCGAGCACCTGCGGATCCCAGCAGCCGGAGCGATATTGTGAGCTCCTCCGCGACGGTTCCATAGGCGAGTGCCGGAAGTGCGAGGCCCAGCGTTATGGACCCTCGTCCCTCACCGACCTGAACAATCCGAGCAACGTGACCTGCTGGCGCTCCGGCGGGGTCAATGTGCCCCACGATCCCAGCAATGCGCCGCCCGACAATGTCACCTTGACCCTGTCGCTGGGCAAGAAGTACGAGCTGACCTACATATCGCTGAGCTTCTGCCCCAAGTCGCCGCGTCCCGATTCGCTGGCCATCTTCAAGAGCTCCGACTTTGGCCTCAGCTGGCAGCCCTTCCAGTTCTACAGTTCCCAGTGCACCAAGTTCTATGGTCGCCCCGATAGAGCCAAAATCTCCAAGTTCAATGAGTTGGAAGCCAGGTGTATTAACTCCCAACATGATAGTGGTGGAGGTGGAGGAGCCTCCCAGAGATTTGCCTTCAACACTTTGGAAGGACGACCCTCGGCGAATGACTTGGACTCATCGCTCGTCCTGCAGGATTGGGTGACGGCCACGGATATTCGAGTGGTCTTTCATAGACTGGAGCTGCCGCCGCAGCTGCTGAAGGTCAAGAAGAACAATGCCAATTCGTTTAGCGATGAAATGGGCGGAAGTCGCGAGGAGGAGGACGATGGCGAGGAGGATCTCGAGCTGGAGGGCGATGATCAGGACGAGTACAGTGACTACAATCTGCAGGACAACGATAGTGGGGATAATGCCAACTACGATGAGTACGAGGAGCCCAAGAAGCACTTAGAGCTGGACGATGATCATCTGGGGCATTTGGACTATGCCAGCGATGGGGAACAGTCATCTATATCATCATTGAATACCAAGCTAAGCAGGGAAAGACAGCAGGGCAAGCACAAGTACGAGAAGCACTATCAGAGCAAAAGTACCACCCAGCAGCCCAAGGTCACTCCGAGTGGGAGTACAGTTGCCCCCGGAGGAGGAGGAGCTACCACCTCGCCCTCCTCGGTGATTTTGCCCATTTCGCAGCACTATGCCGTCTCCGATTTCGCCGTCGGCGGTCGCTGCAAGTGCAATGGCCATGCCTCCGAGTGTGTGGCCACTGTGGGTTCCGGTTTGGGATCAGGATCAGGATCATCATCGGATACCGATGACGGGCAGGACGAGGACTCTCCCGCAAACGCCGCCCCCGCCCACTTTGGACGGAGTATCCAGACGACAGCCAAACTGACCATGACCTGCGCCTGCAAACACAATACCGCCGGTCCCGAGTGCGAGCGCTGCAAGCCCTTCTACTTCGACCGCCCCTGGGGCAGGGCCACCGACAACGATGCCAACGAGTGCAAGAGTGAGTACTACCGAACCTTATAGCTACTATATAACCCATTATAACCGGGAGAAACCCGGAATCTACAGGAGTTTTTGGGGATCTTTTCAAAGGCACCTTTATAAAATGGTTAATTTATATCTTGAATCTTTGAAACATTTCTTATAATATGAGTACCCCGCTTCATAGCCCCTCGAAACCATAAATTACAGGAGTTTTTGGGGATCTTAAATATTCCACTTACTCCTTTTTAAAAACAACTTTATTAAATGGGGAATTTATATCTTTAATCTGTGAAACATTTCTTATAATATGAGTATTCCGCTTCAAAGCCCATCGAAACCATAAATTACAGGTGTTTGTGGGGTTCAAAATTATTCTACTTACTCCTTTTTAAAGTCACCTTTATAACATGGGGAATTTTTATCTTTAATCCTAGAAAAATGATTACCCCGCTTCATAGCTTAAACTATTTTATTTTAATAACTATCATATTCTAGTAAAATACATACTTGCCAAGAAGATAAGAAACCTTTAAATTGTTTCACTTTAAGTCCCTTTTAAATATATTTTTATATATTAAAAAAAATCAGCAGTGTAGTTCTATTACAATCTACCATTATAAATGTGTTGACCTGAGTATTTAAGTGATAAAGCGACTGTTCTTTCATTGAACCCGAACTGAAGAACTGTAAAGCTGCAGAATCCCCCTCCATTGATGGTGTGATATTGATATTGATCTTTGGAAGCTGCCCTTGGTCAAGAGCAGAGGTCTTTTCATGGTCACTCACACTGGACAGTGCAATTGAGTGCATTTGCTGGATGGGATTGGGATTGGGGATGGGTTTCGGGATGGGAGGGAAAGATAGGGATTCGAGTGGCGTTTTCAATTGCGAGCATTGTGTGATTTCGATTGTGATGGTGATGGTGATTGTGATTGTGCCTCCCCCTCCTCAGTCACTCCAATTGCATTCGAGTACTTTAGCCTTGCACTGGCCATCGATACCATCATCTCTTTCATCGCTCCAAATTGCCATCCACATTCCTCTCTTTTTTGCATTTTTGGTGTTTTATTCGAGACGAGGAATCGGAATCGGAATCGAAATCGGAATGGCGCAGTTGAATGCCTCGACGATTGTCTAGTCAACACTTGGTTGGCACCGGGAATGTGTATTAGGATTTTTATGCCATCTTCATCATCATCATCCATTCCCTGTACCTATATATTCCATGTATTACCTTTGCGGCCACGCCCTCCAGAGGGCCATAAATTACTAACGATTAACTTTCTGTAGACCATTGACGTTGTCGTCGTCGTCCTCATCCAGAATTAATCAAAAGCCAACCAACGAAGGCCCAAAAGTGGGTGGAGCTCAGCCTGGGGGGGATTGGGGTCGAAGGTCAGCTTAAAGACTCAATGGAACGTCGGTCGGCACTAATTTATGGCTTTTGGCTAAAAAAAAAGAAAATCCCATGACTATTGACGATGAAAATGGCCAACGAGCCAAAAGGATTAGCTAGAACAAATGTATAGAATTACTGGGTATCAGTTAAAGTCAAAAATAATTTGCTGATTCTTTTGTATCCATATTTATTAATAATAAAGCCCCTAATATTCAAAATTAATTGAACTACTCTCGTCTGGAAAAAGGATTAGCTAGAAGGAGAAGCAAAAAATATATTAAATAAAATTACTGGGTATCAGTTAAAGCTCAATATTCAACATTTTTCTAACCATATTTATTCATGATAAATTAAAATTCAAGTGAAATATTGACATTAAATTCAAGTACTCTCGCCGGGGGATTTTTTCGGCTAATGTCCGTAAATCTGCGTAAACAATGGGGATCCCCTGGATCCTGGCCAAAAATTTCCCTAAGCCCTAAACTCTTTAACCCATGGCCAACGGCCCTTTATCGACCTTGAAGCTCACTAAGCTCACCGAATAAGCCCAAAGTTGTCCGTCTACTTCCAAATTTTCCAACCACCCCGCGAAACGTTTTTTGGGGAGTCGGGAAAAATTAATTTTCTATGGCTTAAATTTGAATTAGTCTCCGGCGGAATCCCCAGTCCGAAATCCGGACTTCATTACAAATGCAACGAAATAAACAGTGCGGGGGAAACGGGGAACAAGGGTTGTTGGTTGGTTGGTTGGTGGGTTGGCAAGATGGAGCGCTCGGAAAGTGATAAAAAATATTTATGTCTGGCGAAATTCCAGCCGCCGGCTGTCCCTGTTCTTTACTTTGCTGTACTATCCTGTCCCATTTCCCTATCAAAACCATCTGTCTAGCCATGAACGCTCCTCTCCGGCACTTGCAATCTCCTCCAGCTGACCATTTAACTATCCAACAAGATTTACGAACACAAAACGATAATGTTTATGACGCCAAATTCTCAAATATCACATATTATGCACTTAAACTGTTATGAAGTTTAAAATAAATACCTTGTGATACAAACTTTATAGCATTTTGTATAGCAAATGATAAAATAATGATATAATATTAATAATCATATGATTTGATATGGTTTAATATGATATGGTAATAATAATAATAATAATATACATAGTTACATGTTTACATGTACATGTGTAATGATAATAATTGTCGGGATTGTAAACTCAAAGTTCCCGTTTGTAAAAGAAGGGCATTAAATGGTGTGATGGCCAAATAACGGATCTAGTAGAAAGAGTAAATATTGAAAAAGGAGGAAAAGTAAACATTTTGCTACCTGCTGCCGTGTGGCTTATCTCGCGGTCCCCCTTCCCCTTCCCCATTTCCAATTCCAATTCCTCTCCCACCTAAAATGCTTTATTCCGATTTGCTTTATTCGCTGGCGATTTGTCTCGATTCCGTCGTTTGTCCAAAAAGTGCTCCCAATTCCCTGGCTCACCAGTGCACAGTGGTGCAAATGGTGGTTATTTTTATATAGATTTTAAAACTGCTTCGTAACACAAAATGTTTATAATAATATTTATTCAAATAGTTTAGATTCCAAATAACTTGTACCATTTTCAATTTCCATATTATGAATACAACAAAATCTTTTTTTATAATACCTTATATTAAAAAAATTAGATTAATAAATAAATTTAGATAAGTTTCGGCATCTTAATACGACTTTAAACCTAGAACTCTCAAGTTTCCACCAATTGACTTCTTAATTATTTCCATGTCATGCTGTAGGTTGTCCAACCCCCTAATGGCCTGCTTTCGACCCACTGTGGCTTAAATCGCCTCATTGGCTCGCCGCTCGCGGGTCTCTGGGGTCGAGTGAAGCGCATCTAATGCGAGACATCTGTTAATTTTTTGGCAGGCTGCAATCGCTAAACCGGGGAAACCGAGCGGAGAAGCCAAGGGGCATCGATGGTTGTTTCGGATTGTCCCCTGCCCATTTTGTCCATTTTCGGATGGACTCGACATCTCGACATCTCGACTCTCTCCCTCATTGAGACTCTAGGCCGCTTTGTTTATTACATTTATTTGTGTGTGATTTTCATATGTTTACTATTCCCCCTCGGGGGTGGGTGTGTGCCGTGTGTTTGCTGAATGGCAAAGGCGAGGGTGGTGATATTGTTCCCAATACCCATGCTATACCTTTTTCCGAGGGCTGTTCGGAATGTTCGAAATGTTCGGGGGCGCGACTAATTCGCTGCGTTTACATTTGCAAATTCCGCCCGGTAATCCCGCCAGCTGTGCGCATTTAAACTGTCCGGGGAGAGGTGTAAATGTAAACGGAGCCACGAATCTCCATCCCCCATCCATGGCACCCACAACTGACTTGCAACAAATTGCCGCAGCTTAAGTTGCAGTGCCACGCAGTGCACTCAAAAAAAAAGGAAAAAGAAACAGTTTTTATTTAGGATTTATGATAGATTTTATTGGTCTTTAATAATAATTATCATAGGCATTAGATCATCAATTTTAGGGAGTAGCTAAAGTAGTTATTTTCTATTTTTACTCTTTTAAATTTCAGAAAACAACTAGTTATTTCTCGCAGTGCCGGGGGAATCAGTTGGAGAAACAGTAGCAATAGTAAAACAGTAAGAGTTACCTAGCGGTTGGCAGTTAAGTTGTTGCACATATGGAGGATGCAACGAGGATTCTGGGCCATTCTGGTCGGGGCGAAAGCAAAATGCAACATTTTATTGCATAACCGCAACACTGTGGCTTTCAGCCCCGCCCCCCACCACCGCCCTCCGCTTGAAGGGGCGTGGCGTGTCAATGTGATAAAATGCTGGCAGCTTCCATTTCGCTTGGAATTTCTCCCGTTTTCGATTGCTTTGCGTTTTTGCCTCCGCTTTTTATTTTATTTTATTTTATTTTACTCTTTTTGTTTACTGGCGGGACGCCTTAAAGTATGTGGCTGCGGAAAAAAGAGTGTTTTTTATTTAAAGGGAGCCGTGAAAAAAAGCGAAAAAAAGAAAAATGTAGAAGGGGTTGTGGGGAACTACATGGAACTGCATAATGAGTGTCCTTTGTGTAGTGGCTGGCGACTCAGGACTCGGCGACTGTACTTAATTTGCATGCAGCAGCGGACTGTTTGTATTTTTTCATATGGATGTGATTTGTTCGGCTGAATGCCGGGAATTCAAGAAATTCGCCCTGGGAATCCTAATAAGTCTGAATTACGCTTGATTATTTTTTTTGTGTGTGGCGCCTTTGAGCATTTGCCATTTAATGAATGAAGTAGTGATTTTTTTGAGTAAAGGCTAAAGGATGGAATGCACAAAAAGGACTCAATTAATGGAGCCCAAGACCATTCAAAAGGAAACTATCTTCTGTGTGAATCGAACCTACAAAGGAATCTTACAAGGCATCTGCATTCAAAGTAACTGAAAATTTACTTATTTAAGAGAGGGGAATCTTTTCCTTTTCTATTTTCTATGCATTCTAGATTTATAAACTGATTTGAATTTATTTTAATAAGTTTTATAAGGATATTCGGAATGAATTTTGAAATGGGAAGAGTGAATTTCCTCAAATAGGGAGAATACCTCGGGGAATACCCGCATATCC